TGGACCTAGCTCCTGAAATATAGGCCTTATAAAAATCATGCTGATGCTAAAAGGTAATTATAGACAGAGCAGTTACACATTAAAATGCAATTGCTAAAGACCAGCCAATGATTTCTTCTCAACTTTGGTCCAAAAACCTAGGCTTTTGCCAAGGATACTGGAAAGTTATATCAGTGATTCACTGGCATATCATTCAACCAGAAAAGTCTGACATTGCCAAGTCTAATAAAGAGGATGTGATTACGTATTAACTAGTATCTCATTTCAGATAATGCTACAGACTGCTTGGGACCTAGGTAATGTTTTCTTCCATATTCACAGAAAACCATGCAGAATGTAACACAGTTGGTTTTTTTTTTTGTTTTTTTTTGTGTGTGTTTTTTTTTCTTTTTAATGACCACACAAAGGATTTTTATTCTTTTTTGTTTGGGAAAAAAAATCACCATTCAAACCTACATATCAGAGAGAAAAGCTGAGAATTGTGAATCTCAAATGTAAGACAAATTTTCAGTGTGGCTAAACTACACTTTAACACCCCACCCAGGCAAACCAACAAATCCAAAACCAACCCAAACTTCATCCTTTACAGCAAAGCTAAGAACCCAAAGATAAGATTATTTTTTGACAGATGAGAATTTAATATGGTTTGATGAGTGTTCAAGAAATTGCATATTGAGTATAAGTATTCAGTGCTCAGGAAATGCAGGCCCTCATTGAACTAAATCTACCTTCAGCACTGCTTATAAGGTAAAAGACTTTTTATATGTGCACAGTAGTGCAATAGTTTTATATTGACTCAAGTTATTAAGCCAACGCCTGCCTGCCAGCATGGAAATTTGATACAACCTGCCTCTTTTCAAATAGTACACACACTGCATTCATTGTACAGGTCACAGTATGGAAAGATACTCGTCACACTCAGGCTCTGAGAGCAAGCAGGCAGGCAGTTCTCACTTTTAGTCCAAATCCCTCCTCAAACATACATGTACATGAGTGCAACATCAGGCTGGGGGTGAACTGAGGCGCTGCCCCGCTGCAGCTCCTGCAGATGTGTCAAGTCAATGACGTGGCTCGATTTAAGGTGCTGAGTGTGAACACTGAATACCGCTGGGGTTCAGCTGCAGCGCACAGTTACGCTACTCATGAGTTACTAACCAAGTCTGTGCACTCGAGGCAGGGCAGCCACCCTCCAACAAGGCCACACAGTTTGAGTGCAGTAACGCAAGCAAGATAATACAGTGAAAATAAATCTATAGACACTTATTGCAGAAAGCTAGTCATTACCAATACATTTAGACCAGTAAGCAGTGTACTGAAGGGGTCTGAATATAAGACAAAAAGATTCAGAAGTGTGAATGGTTCAAATGGGAAAATCCCAAACTCCTAACCATGGTATGTTCTTAGGCTGGTTCCTAGGAGGCACACACTAAGAACCCCTCCTCCCCTGCAGCCCAGCCGTGCAGCCTCCTGAGCTCCAAGGAGGGCACTACGCCTGCGGAAGCAGCATGCGTACAGGCAGGGACTGACGAAGAACACGCCCAGGTGGCAAGCCATTCAAGAGTAATAGAAGAGGAATAGCTAGCTCCAAGTAGCAAGCTTGTCCCAGAGATAAAGAATGTGCTGCCCTGATTTAACCATGCCAAATCTGGAACTGTTTTAAGCAGACAAGTGATTTCATTCCCCTAGGTACCTGGTTCAGATGACCCCTGACTTTTCTGTGTTATTACAAAAAGCACCATAACCAGCATAAGGAAATGTAGGATTGTTAGGGATATAGAGTGACTTCTAAATACATTGCATTGATTAAATCAAATTTATACTTACTTCTACCACAGTCTTTCCCCAGACCTACATTTTCACTACACACTCTGCTTCCACATGCCAGAACATCACGCATCCCAAACCAATGGATCCTTATCTCCCAGAAGGAGAGATAATGGACAAAGGAACCATGAGTTACGGTTTTCCAAAGGAAAGGGTTATTGTAAATCAGTTTCTCTACAGCTTCAAACTCATTCTGCAACCCCTAAAATTTGGTGCACCTTCTTCCTTGGTAAAAGGAAAGCCTGAGTTACGGAGCTACAGCCTGCTGCAGCTGAAGCCACAGAGCTGGAGCCTACTCCAGCAGACTGTGCACAGCCGGGCTTTTTGTGGGGTTTGCTGAGAAGAACTGAGCAGGTCAGGCCCTCCGGGCCCACATGCAGTGAGTACGAGGGGGTCATGCACAGTGCCTGACTGCGGAGAAAGGCACCCCACAAATTTTGGGAGGTGCAGTCCCTCAGCTGATGTTTGTTCCCAAACCCATTTTGTCAGTCTGCCCCCAAGTTCTCTGGGAAGCGAGGCTTGCCTGCAACCCCAACGCTTCCACGCAGAGGCCACCAGGTCAGACAAGCTCCCCAGCGGGTGCTCACTCAATTTTAGGGAATTTTGTTGCGTATCGCTCAGGCCTGTTTAGGTCTCAGATAACGCAAGCCCCGGTGCATTTATTTAGGTCTCTATCTTCTCTAACACATAATTCCCTGAAAGCCTTTCTCCTGGTGCCCAGCTCTCCCCCGTTCTCATTCGGGACAGACTCCCCGGGCTCACTGCGAGCCGCCCCAGCCTGCGGTGCGCTGGTGCTGCTCGGCCCCTTCCCACCTGCTCCCAGCACACCCCTGGCTGCTCGGCACCTCCGCCTCCGCCCGGCCTCCCCCCGGCCTCCCCGGCTCCCCTTCCCCAGGCCGCCCCGCTCCCTCAGGCTGAGGGCGCCGCGGTTCCCGCCCAGCCCCGCAGCGGCCCCGCTGCCCCAGGCCCCCCCCCCCAGCCCCGTCTCCCACCTGCGGGCGCCCCGCTGGCCCCTCGCGGCCCGGCCCCGGCCCCGCGCTGTTTCCGGGCGCCGCGGTCCCGTCCCGCAAAGGCTCCGGCTGCAGCCGCGGCCCCGCCCGCTCCGTTCCCAGAGCCGGGCCGTGCCGGGCCGAGCCGTGCCCGGCCTCGCCTCCCGCCCCGCCCGGCCCCCGGGGCCGCCGCCGTGTGAGGGCACCGAGCCCCCGGGGCCTCCCCCCGCGAGGGGCGGCCTGGCCGGGGAGCCGCGGCGCGCCGCCAGCTCGCAGCGCGCTCTGCCATTAACACAGCGTTACTGTAACTGTCCGCCCAGGGGTCAAGATCATATTCGTGTGTTTTATGCTTGAATCACGGCTCCGGGGGCTCAGGGAGGGCGCGTCCCGGGGGGTGGCTGACGCGAGGGGCAGCAGCGGGGGGCTCGTGGCAGGTGGGTACAGATAGACCTCGCGAGGTGCAGTTGCAAAGCGTAGGAGACAATAAATACAATTTTATTGGTAGGCATACGCTCAACAAGACATGAACTAGAAGCATGGGTAAGCAGAAGGCGTGTTGGTAACATCACGCAGCGTAAAGCTGGCGCCGAGGTGGTATCGGCAGTACCGCCATGGACACACCACCGCCACGCTCGTGCCATGGTCACTGCACCAACGCTGGCAGCCCCAACAGATGTTACTGCAAGCGCTGGAACAGCTCCTGAAGCCAAGGATGGGCCATGGTCCTCTGCGCCCACATGTCCTGTACCTGGTTGCAGGTATCAGCGTCATTCTTGAGATTAAACTTGCAGATACTTCAGGTGGCATAAGCTAGACAAAACACCTCAGAAAAGGAGCCAATCCTAAGATACTACCAGTTTTGTGAACTTAATTACATTGCTGTTCCTTCCCAGGGGAAAATACATTGGTTTTCAGCAGCTTCCAGGCAACTGACCTAACTGCCTCCTGTGCTGCCCTAGCTTATTTGCAATCCATTTGTTTCTTTGCCTTGAGCTGTTTGGCTTCTTTAATAAATATGCTTTAATACCCAACAGATTTCAGTCCTCTGTAAGATCTTTCACTTTGCAACCTCCATATTAAACATGAATTTGACTACAATAGACTAAAGCCAATACTCTGATATTATTTTAGCAATTTTTCTGCTATACTATGGACATCTGCTTACCAGAAGTTACAGGCTGTCTTTATTTTATGTGGTGAGGACCTGGATGCTGCTCAGTTTGCACATAAAACAATCCGACTTCCTTCTGCTTTCGTTACTAACCAAGAATTTTCTAAGCATTTGATTTTCTCACCAATCAAAGTTCAGATAGGTGTTCATCACATTCTTGACTGGACATAAAAATAATAAAAAAAAAATCATACAGGTAGGTACAGGTATGGCATACAGGTATGCTCTCTCTTAAAATTATACCTAAAATGATGCCTAAAACACTGATGAAACTAATGATATCTACTAATGACTAAAACCAGAAGATAAACTAATGAAAGACATGACATATTAACCAGACATAGAACATGACAACCAAGTACAATCTGCCAATTTCACTTAAGGGTATTTTTTTCTGACATCGAGTAATTAATCTGATATTACTGTGTACAATCCATGTCTAGGATGCCAAACACATCTTCAGAAGTTCATATAGACCACTTTGATGTAACAGCAGAGAGTACAAAGGCACTCAAAACACTGAACAACAGCAGGAGTTGGGGACTGGAGTGTTTCCCAGCAGAGCTCTATAAAAACAGAGAACAATCTTGATAAACCAAATTCAAAATAATTCCCCTCATTATTGTTATTAAAAGCATAGAAAGTTTCAGAGCAATCTTTTTCTATTAGCCCCTTCTATTGTGTATATACTTCTAGCATTAAAAAAACATGTGCCACATCTGTAGTATGTGCAACTCAACAGGTGTTCAGTTTTCAAGTACTAAGCAGGAGTATAAAAAGTATAAATTCAAGAGTATAAAGCACCTACATGGTCCTGCTTTTTTACATTTTTATTGATACTGTTCCCATTTATTATATGTCCATTGCACATGCAGTCTCAAATGCTTATTCACATACAGGAAATCTGATAATCTATATATTGGTTAGACCTCACAAGTATAATCAATTCTTTCCATTTGCTGCAATACATAAATAGGAAGAAACCAGTAGAAACCACAAAGAGGAAAATTGCTTACCACTTGACTGCCCCCTGAGGAAGGCGAATTCTGCAAACAAACAAACAAAAAAAAGTAAGGAAATCTAGAAGTGTTCAAACTCAATGGTATTGAAGACAGTTTTGTCCAAGACCACTAAATTTTTTAAAAATAATAATAACAATAAAAAATATGCTGTGGGTTAGATTCAGACAGGTGAAGGAAATAGTTTTAGTTCCACATTCTCTTTATCCCATTTTATATGTGAAAACGTCAGCTACAGCTGATGAAGGGGCAAAAACCTATTTTTCTCTCATTCCATTATCACATTCCATACAGAGTTTCTCATCTGTATTTGAAAGAGGATTTAAAAAATTAGGAAGTGCTAAAAAATAAAAATGGAGGGAACAGTGTGAGGGGTTGGTGGGGGAAAAGGAGTAACCTGTAACTGAAAGACTCAAGAGTTGGGTTAATCAAAGCGATAAACAAAAACAAACAAACAACACCAAAACCTAAGGATTAACCAAGCAGGACCTACAAAAACCTACACAGATAAAACAGGAATTCAAAACTGGAGGACAGCAAAATGTAACAAGGTCACTAACTGGAATGTAAAGCAAGACAGATTCAGATTTAAAATAACTGAAACCAAAAGAGCTTCCCTGACCTGAGGCTGTTTCCCATATTTCCCATGTTTCCAATAGCAGCTTCTTTAAATATGCTCTAATACAAAAGGAACTAATATACAGTGTTATCTTCAAACCAAATCATCCAGAAATTGCTCTACTAACCGTCCTATTTATTTATTTATTTATTTATTTACTAAGAAAAGATCTATGATGCTAAAAGATTCTATGATGAAATTTTTCTTACCGGTTTCCCAGAATAAGTGCTTCCTGAGTATCCCTGTAAAATATTAATAAGACATTTAATTTTGCTGTAGTAGACTACCCATGAACTGTTTGAAGAACATACATGAATCTAGAAAATGTCCTATATTAGTAGACTTTCATTTTACATTTTCCTTGCAATTTTTTCTCCCATTTTAAGTGAACGGTCTCAAGTAAGCACAGCTACACCTTTTTTATTCCATTAACAGTTTCAGAAGATTTTCAAAGCCATGTATCAATCTGAGTGAACAACAAAGTTTGAAACTGAAACAGCTACCCTGGTATTTAAATACGTAATTCCTAACAAAATTATCCAAGCACTTTCCCCTAGACAAATAACAGATATATCAAAACATTGTTGGTGGGAGGAATGAATGCAGCCTCACCCTAAGGTTGAAGTTTGAACAAAATATCCCAACTTTAATTTACTGGCCAGTTTTCTCAGGCACTTATGACTTACTTACTATTGTAACAAAATTTTAATTTTCAATTATATTAAACTATTTTAAATATTGTAAACAATATTTCCAAATTGGTTGTGGTATACTGAAAAAAGAATGTCCTTACTGGCTTTCCTTGATGACCACCTCCATAGGAAGACGAACCCTGAAAATAAAAATAAAAATAGCCAGTTTGTTTTGACTCTAAGCTTATTTGTACTTCACTATATACTTGCTAACTGGAATAAAGGACCACAGGACAATGAAACGTATTTTGTGCCCAGTCACCCCAAAATCCCAGAGAGTAGCCTATGTGAATTAAGAATGCTTAGCATTGTCCTGTTGTAAATATTTGTTTGTGTGATGTACTAGTCATAGAAAATTTAATTCAAAGTTCTTAAGAAGGAGTTGGTTTGTAGTTATAATGTATTCAATATATAGAAAGGAAAAAAATAAGGTCAAATTATACATTAATTCATTTGGAATCAGTCTACAGTTAGGAAAAAAAGGTAAATTAAAATTGAAATGAAGAATGAAAAAAAAAGGAAAAGTTAAGAGTCTTTATGCTATAGCCCTATACAGCCCCAAAGAAAGCTCTAATAAGGAACATAATTTAAAATAAAAGTGAATACTGAAAAGCTAGTAATTCTACAAAATCTTATTTGGTCCTCTGACAAAGTAGCTCTGCTTATTTGAATGACATTGCCAACAAGAAATCTCACAGGCATTGACTCTAAGAAGTGACATCAAATATGGTACATAAAACGTCTCTCCTTTATGATTTAGATGGACGAAAATTAACAGTTGTGCCCACTTTTTAATGAACAGGTTCTATATGAACAGGTTTTATGTTCTATAAGAGAGAAACATGAAATAAGCACATTGCATGTGCTTATTTGTATCTCCTGCAATTGATTGACAAGAGCAAGGTCTAAATTACATGGTTGAAAACTCTTAAAGGGAAAAGGTAAAAATAAACATAGTGAAGTAGCAACTATTGTGTCCTTCAAAATGAAAATATTTTCTTCAAAGAAAGCCAGGAATATTTTCAAAGACATATAGATATAAAGTAATTGAAAAAGTGATCCCTGAACACACAGTGTATGATTGCTGAATGAATTTAAACAAAAGTAACTGTTCGTGAAAGTCTCTTACTACAAATAATGGTCCTGTAATCTCATTCTGTTATTACTAAAAATAATCTAGAGAATGACAAAGTCCATTTGCTAAGTTAAATGCTGGCAAAAAAATTAGGAAACTGAGCGAAAATAAATCTTGTGTTTGCATTTGTTGAGATTATCCAAACACACTGCATATTTATTTTGAGTAACTCTCAGAAAATGTCTGTAATTAATTGGCTACATTTTTTTTTCTTAAAAAAAAAAAAAAAAAGTAAAATGAAAAAACAGGCTTACCAGAAAAAAAAAAAAAAAAAAAAAACACAAATAAAAAAAAAACAAAAAGTTGAACTTGGAAAGATTTTACTTACTGGTTTACCATATTGTCGGCCTCCCGAAGAAGATGAGCCCTGTAAGACAATCAAACACCTTTTAATTGAATAAAAAAGATCTTTTGTCACTGCCTTAAGACTATTTGTGCAGTATTTAGGACAAACTTACTTGAATGTTGTTTGAACAAAACTAACTGGTGTATTTAAAGCCTCATCTATCTACTATACCTCAAAACAACAGCAATTTATTATTCTGAATCAAAAAAGCAGTGTATGATCAAAGGTATGTTTTACACAGAGCAGTAATTATAATAATATAGATAATTATTTTATTCAACTTGCTGAAGCTACTTTAATAGATATTTACATATCCATCTACCTCAGATGTTTAAGCTCAGTAAAAATGAATGCATCTTTCAGCATCAAATAACTGACCCGGAGAGTACAGGGAAAGCATTAGCAGTGATGGGAAGAGAATACACTCACCTGCCCGCCATACTGGCTGCTTCCTGAGTGAGAAGATCCCTATAAATAAATAAATAAAATAAATAAATAAATAAAATCACAGAAAAAAAGTACTGAAGTATTCACAGAATAATAGAATAACAACAGTTACTCCTTTTTGCTGTGCAGAATGAAATATCATAGAAAGACCTTGTGACAGGAGATAGCAGCAGCAATCTGGGAGTGTATTAATCTAAAAAGATGCAGTTGAAAAACTTCTGACTAATTCCTCTAAATTCTTTAACAGATGAAAGTAGTAAATTTGGCCATCACAAAACACCCGCTAAGACTACTCTTTGACAAATACATGGATTTCAAGTGCCTTTATGTATGGTTCTGTTCAAGAGAAGAAAAATTCTGCTTGTGATTTTTCTGTTAGGTGAAGCATGCATACAGAGAGCTTTAAGTATATTTTTTTCCTTATTATTTCTAATAAGTAAGTTGGGAAAGATGTGATTTGTTATGAAGCTTATAAAACCTGAGTTATTTAGACCTCTGTTCTCTCTGTGCTACAAGAAATCATTGGCTCAATACAGTGATAGTGAACTCAAATGCTTTCCAGTGAAGTAAAAAGATTTTTTTTTCCCAACAGAGTAATACTAATGAAAAATATGTTCTGCGCTCTTATGAGATAGGCATCTATTATATTTGTTAACTTTTTGGGCCAGTAATATTTCCTCTATCTGTAACAAACTACTAAGTCTACAAAAGGCACATAAGGAGCTGCTTACAGTGAGAGGTTTGAATTGCAGCTGAAGATTAGGAAAGAAGTATTGTTGGCAACACACTCAAATATGTATTTTCAGGGCAATATAGTCATATATTTTGCATCATATTTCCAAGTACTTAGTCTAAAAAATTGCAAAAATAAATGCTAACTAATAATAAGATTGAAAAATAACACAGAAAATAGATTTTTAACTGGTACCATAGCCATGGGCAACTGAAACATGAAAATGGTTTAATTATCTCTTGAAGTAAGAGGCATTCAGAGGTAAAACAACTGGAATTATGATCTATTCACTTTCTTTGTATTGAATTTTGTTGCTGTTTTTTTCATTTCAGTTACTAACAGACCCTGCATCGTATTTTTCATTTAATAAATAACAAGTAGGAATAAAGTCTTGAAAACAAAGAGTTGCTTGCCTGTCCCCCATACTGATTGCTTCCAGAATAAGATGGACCCTGTAAAACAAAAAAAATAATAAAGTGAAATTTTGAAGCTTTGTATTTCTTTTTTTTTTTTTCTTTTTCTTTCCCCCCCCCCAACTACCACGCACCAAAAAATGGATCTAATCTAAACAATATTCTTAACACCAAGTAACTGAAAGAGCCTTATAGTTATTAATGCAGGTGGCAGATGGCTACATCAGAGAAAGAGCACTGTTATGCACTACGTTAGTATTTTTTCAATGAGATAAAACCTGCGAAATATTTTCAAATATTTTTTCAAAGTTTCTAAAGGTTTCTAAAACTACAATCTTGACTACTATTAAAATCTTGGCTCTGATAAAGTCAACAGACACTATAAAAAGATACAATTGAAATCTGAAGAGATTGATTCAATAAAAGCCAGATATAGTCCATTAAGAGCTCTGTCCCTATCTCTGTGATTAACTTAAATATTTAATGGCTTCTGGGCGAATATGGCAACCAAGCCATGTTAATTCCCGAGAAGCTACTCTGTTCAAGTGTTAAAGAATAATTGCTTACCTGTCCACCATGGTAGCTGTTTCCTCCAAAAGAGCCCTATATTCAACAAAAAATAGCAATTGTTACTTTGTGTAAAATTCAGTCTTATGTAGAGGAAAAACATAAGAGCATAAAAGCATCAAGAACATAATCTTGACTTATTGTGCCTGTGAAGTAATTCACACTGATTGCTAGTATACTTTTCTAGTTGGTTGATCAAACAAGTAAAGGTTTTAGTTTCAATTACTCCTTATTCCTTCACATTGGTTGCTTGCAAAGAGAAGCAAGCTAATAGTTTATATGCTGTTTTTAGCACTTCTGATACTCAGTGGTATACTTATGCAACATGGTTTTTGCTTGATTTCATAAGGTGAGAAAGAAGAAGTTAAGCAATTTTGTCTATACTGTAGCAACAGATAACTGAATCCAGTTAAAAAACAAATTAGCATAAAATTCAAAGCAGGTGTTTTTTGTTTGTTTTTAGTAGTTACAAAAATATAGAAAATACACTAAGACAGAAAAATGAAAATAGTAACCTTTAAAATAAATAAATAAATATGTTGTTCTGCTCCCACCTGAAAGCATTTTAAGCCAAGAATTTTATATTCAAGCTTGCTATTTCAATCATTCTGTTAATAACTATCATAGAAAGAGCAGTATCACACACACATATACCAAAAACAGCAAATACTGCTATGAGATACTTGGAAAATCGTTTCTCAGAAAACTTCTGCACCTCTCTTACAAACCAAAGAAATGAAATGCTTTGAAGTAGTTTTTCATGTCTGGGTATTTTAGCGAATTGGCACTGGGTTTCCTTCAATACAACTGGAGAACATTACTATTTATTTTATCCAGGGTGGGGAAAGTGCAATTTATTTCCCACATTTTTTTTTTTTTTTAAATAGAAATGCATCTGGGTGGGTAGCTAGTTTTGAATACAATATTACAGTTGCAAGTCAATTAATATTTTAGTCCTTAGCAAGTTCAAAATCTCTCACTTAAGCACAATGCCAAACAACTATTATCATTCATATAAATTCACAGGAAGAATTAATTCAAGTGTAGTTCCTTGGGAACATTCCACTTACACATTACTACGGAAATAATGTAATATACAAAGTAATATAATACAAAGAATACTTACTGAGCTTCCACCAGGACACAGACATCCACCCTGTATTACATACAAAACAAACAAGTTTATTTTTTAAGGAGTACATGATCGGAAGAAGCTTCTGAATTAAAAAGTCAAACTCATATTTGGCTATTGCAAGAGAACAGACTCAAGTTCCTGCTCAAAGACTCACTAAGCACCTTCTAAAAATTATCTTCTTTCTCTCTCCACTGTTCTTTCAGGCAAGTTGTGCATTCACTGTATTTTTTTCTTTTTTAAGTTAGTTAGTTTGTTTTTTAATATAATCTTATTTGTCATTTACTCTTACAGTGAAAACTATACTCCCACAAGGGCACGTAAAGAAATCTGAGTACAGAAAAAGTGTTGGTTATTCCTCTCCCACCTCCCCTGAAAAGAGGCCAGAGCAGCTGGAATGAATGCAGTATTCTTACACTCTACAGATATTAGGGAAAACTTTGGCCTTTGGGATCGCTGAATGACATGCAAAAGGAAAATAGCATGCCACCTAGGCTTCGGGCAAGAAGGACAGTGGTGAGAAAAAACAGTTCTTGTGAAGGAAATATACACAGGTAAATTGGGAGTGCCTGTCACTAGCACAATTGACTGGTATTGAGAAAGAAAAGCCTACCTGTCCACCATATTGGCTGCCTCCTGAAGAAAAGCCCTAGAATAAAAATGAGAAACAAATTATTTCTGTGTTACTCAGTAACATTCTTGATTGTTCTCTGTTCCTTAGCCTTTTAAACTGTTTCTGTTTAAAAACAAAAATGGATTTCTTAGATCAAGGTTGAATTTAAGGAAGCATTTCCAATATAGTCACACAGACCCCTGTAGCATTTGCTCATATAATGGTATACCACATAGACCTGTGTTTTGCAATCCTCAACACTTTTGCTTAAAGCTATGCTTCCTTAGATTTTTATTTTTTATTTTTCCAAACATTACAGAACAATGTTTTCTTGATGAACTCTTTACCAGAACTGCAAATACTATGAAGGTAGAGGTTTTACCTGTCCACTGTACTGACTGCTTCCTGAAGAAGCTATACCCTAAAGAAATAAGGAAGCATTTATATTTGTTGCACATTCTTTAACTTACAACCTGTTATTGAAAAACACAATTTTATTTTCCATGGATTTAAAAGCCACAGGAATATAAACTCTTCCTTTATAACCATTTAAAAATATCTGTTGGTCTTTAAAATGGCTATATTTTTAAATAGTACAATAAAGTTTAAATCAAAGGGAGCTTCACACAAGTGCGAATAGTACAGCTACACTGAATTCTGTGGTCAGGGCAGATGCATGTGTTTCACATTCCTGAGTGGGCTGACACAGTAGGTCTTAAATTTATCTACTCTGCCTGAACAGTGCTTTGCTGTAAGCCACCTTATATAAAGGACCCTGTTTTTCTCAGAACAGGGAAAGAGAGAAAGGTGAACAACAGGAAAACAACCCAGAGAGAGAAAAACAGTTGTCACCTAATGTCTGCCACCTGAGAAAAATGGACCCTGACACAAAGATACCAATTATTATTTATATCAAAAAGCTTCTTTACAGGATTTTGAAAGAAGCGCTACTTTCTTTCTCTGTTGTACAATGAAGGATTACAGAAAAGCACTCATCTTACTCCTTTATGTGTTCTATGCAAGTTAGGGACGATCTGTAACATGAATCTTCAATAATACTGACAGTAAGGAGTGATCATGACCTATTATGACTCTATATGTAGTTGCATTTGGGGGGCATTTTATTTTGACTGAAAATTTATTTCTCATCTAATTTCCTTTCCAATGAATCTGATGAGATATGTTTTCAGAAGATAAGGGCCAGTCTGTTGGGAGGTTTCACTGCATATGAAAGGCTTCCCGTAAGACTGCTCCAGGAACCTTCTTCATCCTCTTTCATTTCACAAGGGCATAGAACACCTTCCTTTAACAACTCCTAACCTTCTCCCATTCCCTTCCTGAGGCACGTTGTTCCTCTGATACCAGCTCTGTACTTGCGTTTTGCTAAGGGAGGTGAGGTGTTCCATTGGTTGAAGTAGAGGAGGAATGCAACTCAATTCCACACTTCTTACAGTGAGAACTAAGAAACCATAACAGTAGTAGAAGGCAAGAAGGTTCTAGAATGAGGAGCGTAAGTCAGAGGCTACAACAGAAGTACTGTCCTTTCATATTTTTTGTATTGTTTCAGATCACGATCATTAGAAAGCTGATGGTCTATAGTCATATTAACAGAGCTTACTCAAAATTATATTTTTTGCAGTAAATACAAAAGTAGTGAGTTATGAGATAGAAAGTGTGTCTGTTAGCATAAGAACTACACAGGAAGAGATTCTCACCTGTCCTCCATACTGGCTGCCTCCTGAAGAATGTGAACCCTGAACAAAAAGAATTAAGTGTTCTTTACGGCCATGTTATAGTACTCCTTTGTACCATCATCCATACAAAAGAAAGGTACCCCATTTCTTTCACTGCAAAACTATGAGTCGGATTAACCAGACTGTGCAAAATATCTGATGCATCTACCATGACGCATCAGAAATTACATCTCCTAAAAACTTTCTTGTGGTTTTGTATCATGTACATTTACAGTTACTATAAGCAGCAAACTAAGTAGAATATAAAAATAACCAATCTTAGAGTAGCCTCTTACAAAGAACTACTTATTATCTCGTATAAATTCATAAATACCAAAAGGGAGGAATTCTTACCTGTCCACCATACTGGCTGCCTCCTGAGGAAGGTGAACCCTGAATGTCAACAGAAAAGAAACTGAAACTTCTTTACATCCATATAATGAGACTTTAAAAGTTTTTGGTTAGCTTCACAAACTATTTATTTCAGAAAGACATGGCATCTTACCCCAAGGGACGGTATTCACATATACACACTTTTATGACCTAGTCCTGCAAATTTCTGGAGCCATATGACTCAACCATGTATTTTACATTCTATTTCTTCTTAGTCTTAAATATGGCCTTCATCTAAACTTGTTCAGTTTAATCACAGTAGCAAGCAGAGTGCTATATTGAAAGACTTTCTAGGATTATAGACTAATATAAATTAATTTAAAGGTGGGCAGACATCAAATAAGATACAAGTTATGCTTAGGTAAGAAAAAAATATAAGTGGGGACTATTAATGCTTACTCGTCCACCATAATGGCTGCCTCCATAAGATGATGGTCCCTGGAAAAATATTGCAAATTGTTTTTTTCTGTTTCACAAGATTTAACAGAAAACAAGGTAACTCACGGATATGAGAATACATCTGCATTTTGTTCTTTTACTGTTTTGTTTATAATCTTCACAAAATAAACTCTGCATTTTCATTTTCTTTAAATTCACAATATTACTAGAGAATAGATCACTAAAAATGTTCTCAAAATTTTAAATTGTGGCAGCTATCCTGATAATCTTTTAGTTGATAAGAGTCAAATATTGGTAAGAAAAGATAATACAGAAATATTAAAAATAAGAGCTTACATGTCCACCGTAACGGCTAGTTTCAGAGGAATATGAATCCTGTAAAAAATGCCAAAGAAGTGAATATTTGCCGTAGGATTTCCTTAAATCAAACCACTACTATCCCAGGACAATAGGAGCAAGACAACAAGATAAAAGGGAAGACAGGTTAGCAAGACTTTTGGTATGCTTCTAATGACTAGAGTTCAAGCCTTACCACAGAACTTCAGGAAATACCTGAATTGCCAATCCATACTGAATTTTTTACTTTTAAAACACAAGCACTTTTGTTTCTCTTGATGAACTGCAATGTCACAGTACTCCTGAAAACATTTTCTCTTTTGTTCTGCAGACATGATAAGGCTTACATACCTTTCAAAAGGTCACAATGGAAATTGTTTTCTACCTTGCCTCACCATGTACCTCAAGATTTTCTCTCAGAGAAATAGCAAATAATTTCTTCCTGCACAATCTAGCACATGCTCCTTTATGCTTATGAGACAGGTGCTAATGTGATGAAAGATATTTTGTTGGATATGTGATTTTTCTCCAAAAGAATCCTTTCTACTGCAGATGATGTAGAAAAAAACAAAACAGCATTCGCCTTAAATCAAACTTCTTTGTCAGCAATACAAGCAGCATGACACCAGAACATGCATCTTTCAAACAAGCCTTTCTGCCTGGACATTTTTTTTGTTGTTGTTTTGTTTTCCGTGACTCAAATTCTTTATTTCTGATGAATGATCATATGTCACTGTTATTGATAATGTTTTGATGATACTTATCATGATTCACAATTCTTTTGTGTCACCACGCTTGTAATTGTGAGTTTGAATAAAAAATGCTGCATTCTGGTTCATTGTTTCCCACATGTATTTTTTATGTGACCATCATCATGCAAGTTCCCAAAAAATGAGGGCAACTAGTTGCTCAGAATGCCATCATGTACTGCTTTTAGGATGTACCAAACTCAACAAATTTAATTTACTGAGTTTTTGCTCTCTAAACAAAGTTCCCACAAACAAACTGAACTCAATAGAGTTTTTGAATAACCATCATTTTCCAAAGTGTCAGGGTGGCTTTTCTTTCTGAATGAGTACTTACTTGGCTACTGTAATAGCTGCCTCCAGAAGAAGATGTGCCCTGTGGAAGAAAAAAATATCAGTTATTTTTCTCTAACAGAACTATTTTAAAGACTTCTGGGAGGACAATAGTACTTGCAGTTCTATTTTAACTCTTTTGCTTGAGTTTAAAATCCACTCAAAATGTAAAGTCTATCCTTCCCTATTTTGCTAACATGTCTAGAATTTAATGTGTACCTTGTCCAGTAGAATGGCTGTCCCTAGAGCACTTTTAGAGGAGAAATATCAGTTATTTCACTTCAGAGGATCTGACTGAAGGACAGGCAGTTTATTTCTTTCAGTTTAAAAATCAGTGAACACGCTGAAGAATGACACACCCACAAAAAAGCTTTTAATATTCATTCTTGCAGAGTACTATGGACCTTTTGAATTCTGCTGTTTTTCCACAAGATCCGCTAAGCCTCATTATGAAACAAAACTGTTTTGTGTCTAGTACATAATGTTAAACACTTGTCAGAAATGTGTCCTTCATAAGGAATCCTTACTGCGCAAAATGGCTTTCCAATTGCGCTGTAGAGAAGATACTAAAAGACAACATTCTGAGGTGGACCCCAACATCCAGCTGGGGGAGAACTGAGACCTACATTAAGTATACACAAGCCATTTTCCCATGCTGAGGTACTGGGTACATCTGTGCATTGTGGATTGGATCAGGAGTGTACCATTGAGATGAAATTCCTGGTAGCACCCACTCACTACAGTGGTTTGCATCATGAAGTGGTCTTGGAGGGAATGAATTAGATGCCTTTCAGGTGAAACTAAATTGGAAGATGTTCTTTAGGGACACAATGCCTTTCAGTAGTAAACTGCCTTTTGGTCCACAAGACTAGAACTAACCCTTCTGGAAATGTGTATAGTGTGGCCATCAATTCATCAGCAATGACCGTTTCACTCTGTATATCTGTTTCTATAAGCTTGCAGTAGTTGTTCATGTATACAGAGCTGCTATGTTCCCTTACTCTATATACAACCCCCGATTCAGAACTGCTCTCTGAAGATGGCCAAGTCAGTATAAAAAAAACTCAGTCCTAATCAGAAGATTGAAAGAAAGCAAACTCCACCATAATATTAAGGATGTAGAACACAGACAAGTTAGAATATTTTCCTGACTGTAAATCTATACACATTCCTACTTCTTACAAGAGAAGCACAAGGCTAGTTCTATTTATCCCACAGTATTAATTCATACGGTGCATTTATGTAGCTGTATCTAAGCTGGCTTTATGCCAGCTAGCAGACTGACAAGAATGCCACAGAGTTCAGTGCTAGGTACAGAAAGATCCCAGTGCTTTTTTTTTTTTTCCCTTCTAGTACAGCACATATGGAGTTCCAGTGACATGTACTGCATGACTTTCTAACTCATGAGGAACAAAACTGATCTTGAGAATGCTGTAAAACAGGTCTCTCCTGCAAAAAGAGTTCTTATCCATATGAGGTGATTAAGATCACATAATTACTGATCAATGAAATACTAAACTATTTCTTGCAGTGAATGATCTGAGAGGAATACAAAACAGATAAAACTGTGTGTCCCTAGGGGATATTTTGACATCATTCCAAGGAAGGCAATGGAACTGATTCCCAAAGTAAATATTTAAATTGTTATGTACCTGTCTTTCTGCCAAACATTTTCATTCAAAGACTTCTGTTTGAATGAATAATATCTCAAATGGAAAGAGAAATAGAATGATGCAAGAAGGTCCTGTGTATATTTTAAATTGTAACTAATTAATTTTCAGAAGTGTTTAACTATTCACTATTGACTCTTTTTAGTCTCTCTAGACATCACATTGACAGAAGAACACAGGACACGCTTAAGAGGTAATGAACGCTGCTTACATTTGCAGAGGAATTGCTTCTCAGTGAGGTAGGTGATCCACCCTGTGGGGAAGGAGGAAAAAAAAAAAGGTAAAATAAGTTATCCTTTGCTTTGTCTTTAATCAAACTAAAAATGAAACAAAACCTTACAATGCATCTTCCTTGGTACTTTAAAAGAAGAATATCACAGTTTGAAGTTACATTACACTAAAATTTCTCTTTTCTTAACTTGCCAAGATAACTAACTGTCCTTTTTGGCCTGTAAGGCCAAAAGAACCATCACAAAGAACCATTTTTTATCTACCCATGACTGATTACCTAGAAAATAAGAACACTACCCAAGTTGTGGGAGTGTCTTTTACATGCTACAAGTTGATTGACCACATATTATTTTGCTTTGGAAAACATATGGTACCTTATTTCACAGCCTAAATAATTTGATAAGGACTTAAAAGACAATGAAAGGTCCTTAAAAGGACAAATGAGAGGTGTTTCAGAGTTTTTTTTTTTTTTTTTTAATGAGACTGATATATTTCTGAGTCAATTTTTTACAGCTGGCAATTTCATAGACTTTGTTATTTTAGCCTCCCTTCATGATGAAACTTTTGTCAATTAACTCTGGTATTTAATTTAGAGTTCTACTCTACAGTAAAACCACTATTGCCTTTCTTTAGAATTGTTATTTATTTTTAAGAAGACATATACATTTCTATAGATACTGTATGGTAACTGAAAGCTACTGTTCAGTGAATACACCTTGGTGCCAGCAGTGGGCATCTGAATTCTGCATCTTGGCATAATGAGAAATATCTTCTATCATGCCAATTATATGTAACATCACCAAATGAACAATGAATATAAAATCAAATAGTACTTTCAAATAGATAAGTAAATGAGTTATAAATAAATAGGTATACAGATAGTTTTCCAGATTAATATATAGTAAGAAAAAAATACAATGAACAAACAACACTTACAGAACTTGCGCCAGAGCAATCACATCCACCCTGTAAAGAATCCAGAAGGTATTTAAGATCACAAAAACAGAGCACTGAAAGGGACTCTAGTTACAATTCTTCTACAATCTCAGGTATACAAACCATAAAATAACATTCATATCTGTCCAAGTTCTCTGTAGAAATTAATCTATTTTTTTTGTTCTCTCCATTCTTTGCAACTATTCGTGGGGTAAAACCTAATTTTATCTTCAAATCTGTTATCTACAGTTTTTACTTTGAGAACTCTACTCACCAAATGTGTAAGTAAAAAAAATCTGAGTAGGACTACAGAACAAGTCTTGATTATTCTCCCCCCCTCAAAGAGGCCAGAGCGGCTGGAATACATTCAGTATTCTTACATACTACAGATGTTAGGGAAAGATGACTTCCAGCGGAGGCCTACCAGGATTTCTACTCTGATTAAACTAAGAGGTGGCTGGAGTTTGCCATTCTGTGCCTCATTGCCACATGCAATCTAGATAAAATAAGTATAAAGAAAAAGAAACTCAGATACAACTGACAGACAGATGGCTACTTTGGCTTCTTGGATCTCTGAATATAGGAAAAGAAAGTAGCATGCCACCTAGGCTTTGGACAAGAAAGACGGTGGTGAGAAAAAACAGTTCTTGTGAAGGAAAGATACATGGGTAAATTGGGGATGACCTGTCACTAGCACAACTGTCTGGTGTGGAGAAAGAAAATCCTACCTGTCCACCATATTGGCTGCCTCCTGAAGAAGGTGATCTCTGTAAATAGTTATATTTTCATTTGAAAGATCATCTTTAAGTTTGACATGTCTATTTGATCAAACTGTATTGTCTTTTATACTCTGTAGAATTTTAAAGAGGGTTTTAAAAAAAAAAAAAAACACACCAAAAATACAGTAGTCTAAAAACTTACATGTTACCAATTCCATAATATTTTCTTGAAAGACATATACTGGGGGAAAAAAAAGAAGAAAAACTTCCTACCTGCCCACCATACTGGTTGTACTGGTTGCTTCCTGATGAGCTCTGAAAAAAAATTACAAATTACTTTCCTTCTATTCTTAAAATACACATTGTAAAGAATTTTTATTACTTTCATTTGTTTCTTAGTGTCAGAAACAGTTTATTCCATTACTGTATTTTGAGCATTCTGCTTCTACTTGGACATTTATATAAACTTATATATAAATAAGAGGACCATATGGATTTCAGTCCTCGTTAAAAAATTGAAATCTCTGCAATATAATACAGAGGTTTTTTTTTTTGTTTTGTTTTGTGTTTTTTTTTTTTTTTTTTTTTTTAAGTACAAAAGTATTTACCTGTCCACTGGAGTAGCCACCACCTTGAGAGGATAATCCCTGAAAACAAAGAACAACAATTGAATTTATTTCTGTTTATAAGGCTTCTAGAAAGCAAGACTATGCTATTCAATAGTTGTATACATGCTTTTACAAAATTGTTTGGTTTTCATTAAGTTTATAATTAGATTTCGCAAGACAGCTGTCACGAGATTCTGGAAGGAATAGTTGGGCATAATTTGTAAAGATCACTTTTAATAGAAGGGCCACTTGGAAATGGAACTGCAAATAATGAATAAAATAGATGCTTACATGTCCACCTGAGTGGCTGCCTCCTGGGGAATAAAAATCCTGGAAAAATGTATTGAAAGTACATGACAAAAAAACCCAAGACTTCCTTTCTTTTGTAGCATGGAAAGATAAGGAGGAAAGTTGAATACTCTTTCTGCCTCTCCACATTCCTTAACTTTCTTTCATGGACTGTTCAAGAACAAGAAACACTTTCTGCATAAAACAGCACGTGCCCCTTTATCCATGCTTTTTTGGTGAAGAAGATACTCTTTTGGAAACAATGACTAAAGAGTTTGTATATCTTCACCAAAATAATTTCCTAGTCTGAGTCACTGTATTCTCATTTGAAGTAATAAAATGGGTGACAAGTTAAAATGACAGGAAAGTGGAAGCTCTTGTAAGTATATCGTAATGCACTAAAAAGCACAGGGTTTTGCCTAGAATAAATGCTCGAAAAAACATGGCATAGAAACCTTTTGCAAAGGACAATGAGTGAAAAAGTGGGAGATCATGAGCAAGTAAATTGTGGCACTGTGCTTGTAATTGTGAATTTGAGATTTAAGAGCAGACCTCAGAATCAGCTGGGATTTCTGGTAGTGCTTAAACACTTTAGCCATACTCTCATTCTGTCTTTGCCTTAGCTTGAGGGCTTTCTAGTCCACATCAAAAGCTGCTACACCAGCTTCCACACAAGTTGTAATTCAGCTGGATAGTACTTGCCAGTCCTAAAAAAACTCTGGGGCAGAGAACCCAGTAACATTTAAGAAGGAGTGCTTACCCGTTCACTCTGCCGGCTGCCAGATGGTGAGGTGGAATCCTGTAAAAACATTAGAATCCAGTTATTTCATGGCAGATATCTCCATTTCATCTAAGCAAGGGTGGAAAACAAAGAAAACTGTGGCTTTGTTTGTGTGACTTGTTGGGAAAGTTAAAAATGGAGGGTGTAGAATATGCAGTATGCTTTCAAGTTCTTTCTGTGCTCATTTTTGTGAGAGTGGCACTTCTTTATTTGGAAAGCTATCCCAGGCCAGAGCTAGCAAGAAAGGATTAGTTGCCCTAGAAAAACAAAAACAAAAAACAAGACCGAAAAAAATCAGAAAAAAAAAAAAAACAAACAACAGAAACATTGATAGAGATATATATAAACTAGTGTAATTTATATTTTTTTTAAGTAGATATTCAATATCGAGCAATAAAAGAGTGAAGTCTCATCATAAACTATGTTATTTCCCTTTAGAATATGATAAAGAAAAACAGTTGCATTTTAAAAGATATCTTGGATCTTGAAAGACTTCAGCGGTACACACCAATGTTCTTAAGAGTTTAGTTCCTTTCATAAGCCTAGGGGCCATCTGTAGCGTAGTTTAACTTTGATGAGCATCCACAATAAAATTTTGATTAAAGAAACTGTTGTGTAAACTAATAATAAGTGTGGCTGAAGTACACAGCTGTACTTATAAAAACCTTTGAAGAACCATTTTCTACTCACCAATACATTCGAAAACTGACTTAGTAGAAATAAAGTTAAAATTGCTCAATCAATTGCTCAAGACTCCATGAAAATGACAAATGAAACGTGGAAAGTTTCATAAACACCTTTAGCAGAATTATGGGAATAATACAAAAAAAAAAAAAAAAAAAAAAAAAGTATTTCCTTCTGACTGAAGTAAACAGAATAGAAAGCAGTTCTGACCATTCTACATGAAAACACAGCATTCATACGTAATATGTAAATGAAGGAGCTTGAAGCTCCTTTATTCATCTGGTATTGGAAAAAACACACAAATAAGTGCTGTTTGAACTGAAGATGGAAGGAGATGGAATTAGTTTCCACAGTAGTGATAAGTTAAGTTGTAAGATAGACTGAAATGGTATAATGATTAAAGGTCAAATATGTGTTTTCTCAAAACATGGAAAAATAGAATTTTAAAATAAATCTGTATTTTAAGAGCCATTGAATTGGACAGTTGATTTGTGTGAAGAAACAAGATAAGTGTCAATGTTATGAGAGTCCAGAATAATAAATACATATACTCTTAAGGATATAGTCCACAAAAATTAACCCTTAAGAACTGAAATGGTTCATCTGATATAGTGATAATACAGATATTGTTGCAGTATTAAATTACTATTATTATATTAAATACTCAAAGTACTCAAATCACTGGAAGTAGAAAGAATCTATTTTTTTTTTTTTTTATATTGTGAGAATATACTGATGTGGAATTTTGACAGAAATTATGAAATAAAGAAAGAGAGCTTCCTTTGTAATTGCTACATCTAATGACCAATTCAAAAATGCATGACTGTGACAAGTATGAACTGTTGCAATTGTAATTTTAGTGTGCTAAATCCTTATCATACCATAGCACAATAATGTGACATAATTTAAATCTACTTTTTCTTTTATCTATAGAAATAATATAATTTCAAAAAAATTCTTGCAGAAAATTACTAAGCAACACAGATTATTAGAATATGCTGTGAAGGAGCTCTTGGAGGTATGACCATGAGATAGGTAAAGGTACACATAAGCACCCAGACATGTTAAAAGGTAGTAAATTCTGAGATTGGTATACTAGAGAAAAAATACTTACCATGTCATCGGATTCACCACCTCCCATGGAATCCTATAAAATAATGGAAAAACATTTATTTTCATATATAAAGGACTTATGACCTTACTTGTAAAAAAGATACATTAGAAGAATAAAAATAATGAACCACTTAGAATTTCCTAATTTTACCTAAGCCATGGAATGTTCAAGAAAAGAAAAAGATGTATAACTTTACTTGCTGCTTAACCAGAGGAGGTTTAAGAAAATGAACAAACTAATACACACACACCTCTCAGAATTACTTGTAAACATGTTCTCTCTTAGGAAACATCTTAGATAAAGTTGATTTACAAAATAAACTATTATTTACATTCAAATATCCCATTATCTAGACTTTGTTTCTAGACTCTGCAATAGAAGTACCAATAAGACAATATTTTTCTATGAAAAAGCAGTCTAGATTATGTCTTATTTTTAATAAATAATTTTACATGAATTTGGGTGGTGGAAATGTATTGCTAAACAAAAAAGAATGTAGTCCCTACAAAATGGTTCTCCAATGCAGTTCACATCGATATATACAGACTTAAATACAGTATGTGCATTCCCCTAGACTTTCAATGGCTTCTACATAAGTAAGTGATGTAAAGTAAATGCACAAAATACTTTTCAGTGAGCTACTGCAAAACCATTAATTAAGGGGAAAAATGTTATCCTAATTAAAATAGTCACAGTGGCACAGTAAGCAGGATAGTTTTATAACGCATAACCTTCCAAGCATTATGAAAACATTTGGAATTGTAAATGGGTAAATAAAAGGGAAACCAAAAGCTATCACATGGTCATCACTTAAAAATAGTTGAAATATAGAAGCCAGTGCATGTAAGAACCAACACAGCAAGCTTCAGCTTTTGATGAAGCATGATAGAAATGATATTTACCTGACCATAAGATCCAGCTCCACCATATGTGGAAGATCCATCCTGTTCAGAAAACAGAAATCATTTTCATTTTGCAAACAGACATTTCATTTTGGAAGCATACTTGCTGGGCAGGGGGGTGGGGGTTCTGTGGAGATTTTAATTATGCAAGTATTTACTTAGTTATTAGAATGAATATTGAGAAGGTCAGTTATATCCTTGTAAAACACTACCTTGACATATTCTTAGAGCAAATTCTGTTTCTTCTACTGAAGAGACATTATTGGATGATAACTCAAAGCTAGTATTATTGAGGACAATAAGCTTTAGCAGTTGGAAGCACACAACTTTTCACATACATCCCTGTAAAATTCCATGACATGAAGAGTATATGGAATTTCACTCCTCAGAGAAAACAAACTAACAAACAAAAACCTTCACTGAAAGGTAAAGCGAGAGCCCAAATAAAGAATATATAGCTATATGTAGGAACCATGGTGTTGGCCCTAAGCACCATTTATACAAGCAACCTTTATACAAAAACAAAAAAGGGAAAAAAGAGTATTTACCTGACCGTAGGATTCACTGTTACTATCATACACAGAAGACCCTCCCTATAGAGAAAAAAAAAAAAAAGACTTTAATATTTTGATTCCTCTAAGAAAGAGTTTTTCTTCTTTCAAGGGCAGTACAGGAATGAAGATAATGGAAGACTGTGTTGACTTTACAAATGAGGAAGAAAACTTGCCTGTCCATAAGATCCACCGGGATAGTAGGACGATCCTCCCTGCAGAAGAAACAAGGAGTTACTATTTTGGATCTAAGGTGTTCTCTCAAGAAAGTTTTTTTAGGCTTCTTGCATGCAGGTACAATGACTAGAATGTGTACCTGGTTACCAGAATAAGAGCCGTGGAATGAACCTGGGCCTCCCTAAAAGGAAAACACAGACCAGCTAGTTTCTTGCAGCCAAGGTAAGTGCTCCTTATCAAGGCATACAGTTCTCAGTTTATACTCTTTCTCTCCATTTTGAGCTAACCTTTAGTACCTAAATAAAAATTAAGACCTATAATGTTAAGGCAGGAGAACTTTTCAGGCAGCAGTTTTCTTAGCCTGTTGACATTTAATATCTGCAAAGAAACTGTCTTCACCTTTCTGTACTGTTCTCTGCCAGACTTCACACTACTAAGTTACTTCACAGTTGATTTAAGTTAGCTAGTCTAAGAGAAAACTGTCAGGTCTATAATTACAATATTTCATAGCAACCGCGATACTGGCAGTCTAGAAATCAGGATTATGGCTGTCTGTGTTATCCACTTGAGGAAGGAGGAACAACTACCTGTCCATAGGATCCTCCAGGATAGAAGGAAGATCCTCCCTGTGCAGAAGACAGAACGGGTTACTCATTTACATTTGACTACTCCTTCTGGAAAGGTTTTAGATGGAGCTTCTGAGTAGGGCACTTTATCTGAATGTTTACCTGGTTACCAGAATACGTGCTGTATGAAGAACCTGGTGCTCCCTGAAAGGAAAACATAGACTACCTACTTTCTTGCAAACAGAGCGGTATAAATAAATGTGCCTGACCTTCACTTTAGGCCAATATTGTTAAAGAACAAGAAACTTTACAGCAATGATTTTCTGAGCTGAATGAAAGATGAATCCAAGGCAGTTCTAAACACAGAGTAGTCTTTTTGCTCTGACAGACTTTGTGCTGTAAGTTACATTGTGTTTGATTCAATAGTTGGGTGTTAATTAGGATATTTCCTAACATTCACTATTCCGGAGTACAGGAACGAAGGTAATGGAAGACTGTGTTGACTTTACAAATGAGGAAGAACTTACCTGTCCATAAGATCCACCGGGATAGTAGGACGATCCTCCCTGCAGAGGAAACAAGGAGTTACTATTTTGGATCTAAGGTGTTCTCTCAAGAAAGTTTTTTTAGGCTTCTTGCATGCAGGTACAATGACTAGAATGTGTACCTGGTTACCAGAATAAGAGCCGTGGAATGAACCTGGGCCTCCCTAAAAGGAAAACACAGACCAGCTAGTTTCTTGCAGCCAAGGTAAGTGCTCCTTATCAAGGCATACAGTTCTCAGTTTATACTCTTTCTCTCCATTTTGAGCTAACCTTTAGTACCTAAATAAAAATTAAGACCTATAATGTTAAGGCAGGGAAGTTTTCAGGCAGCAGTTTTCTTAGCCTGTTGACATTTAATTTCTGCAAAGAAACTGTCTTCACCTTTCTGTACTGTTCTCTGTCAGACTTCACACTACTAAGTTACTTCACAGTTAATTTAAGTTAGCTAGTCTAAGAGAAAACTGTCAGGTCTATAATTACAATATTTCACAGCAACCGCAATACTGGCAGTCTAGAAATCAGGATTATGGCTGTCTGTGTTATCCACTTGAGGAAGGAGGAACAACTACCTGTCCATAGGATCCTCCAGGATAGAAGGAAGATCCTCCCTGTGCAGAAGACAGAACGGGTTACTCATTTACATTTGACTACTCCTTCTGGAAAGGTTTTAGATGGAGCTTCTGAGTAGGGTACTTTATCTGAATGTTTACCTGGTTACCAGAATACGTGCTGTATGAAGAACCTGGTGCTCCCTGAAAGGAAAACATAGACTACCTACTTTCTTGCAAACAGAGCGGTATAAATAAATGTGCCTGACCTTCACTTTAGGCCAATATTGTTAAAGAACAAGAAACTTTACAGCAATGATTTTCTGAGCTGAATGAAAGATGAATCCAAGGCAGTTCTAAACACAGAGTAGTCTTTTTGCTCTGACAGACTTTGTGCTGTAAGTTACATTGTGTTTGATTTAATTGTTGAGCGTTAAATAGGATATTTCCTAAGAGTCACTATTCGGGAGTACAGGAACGAAGGTAATGGAAGACTGTGTTGACATTACAAATGAGGAAGAACTTACCTGTCCATAAGATCCACCGGGATAGAAGGTAGACCCTCCCTGCAGAAGAAACATAAGGAGTTACTATTTTGGATCTAAGGTGTTCTCTCAAGAAAGTTTTTTAGGCTTCTTGCATGCAGGTACAATGACTAGAATGTGTACCTGGTTACCAGAATAAGAGCCGTGGAATGAACCTGGGCTTCCCTAAAAGGAAAACACAGACTGGCTATATTATTGAAAACAGACATCTAAGTAAATGAGTCCAGTTCTGAATTTGTTCTTTCAAAAAATATTTTTCAAAATAGATGTTATAAAATATAAACATTTTACTTCAGAAGGGATGTTTCTGCTATCATTTAAAGAGAATACTGGTAATTTTTGTCAGAAGTGAAAAAACCTTTAGCTTGGACTTTTCAGGTTAAAGAACCTGAAAAAAAGTAATTACTCTTCATCTTACTCTTTCTCGTTACAGAATAAGATGTTATGGCTGGTTGACTCTAGGTTATTATAGATCATTGTTATCATGTTTTTCAAAACTGCTAAAATAGCAAATTTTCAAAGTACAAATAGGTTCTAGTTGATGAGATACCACTTAAAAGAGAAATACTATTTACCAGTACATAACATCCATTATTACTGTCACATCGTCTTTGTACACAAAAAAGACAAGCAAAGTATTATTCTATGGTTTGACTATTTCTTCACGGAATTTGTAGACTGAGACTCTGTCTTTTGATAGATCGTAGAGGAAAAAGTGGAATAACTGCAATGTGACAAATTTGGGAAACCACATAAGAAAATCCATTTTTTTTTTTCATTTGAAACAAGGTTTAAACATGAACAGCTTTGACACTTGCTTTAAAAATCCCCTTCCTTTCATAGCTTTTAAGTTTTAGAAGAAAACTTTTACAGGAATTTTCCTCTTGGGCTGAAGAATCTTCAAGGAAATAGATGACTTGGTATTTTATGTAAGATTCATGACTGCTGGTTTATTTATTCATATGTATTCATCTACAACTTGATTCTTTTCATGCAGGACAAAAAAACCTGCCTACCACAGCAATGTGTTTAAATGTTAATCTTAGGCATTGCTGTTGCCATATGTAGAGGATATACCCTGGACAGAAAATTAAAATAAGTCAACTAAGTCTCTTTTTGAATTCTCTCTATTCTTTTGAAGGTCAATAAACTTTACTGTTGGGTGAAGACAAAGATCGAGACTATTGCTGTGTAGTTTATCATAAATTAATATACCAGCTGATACTATCACAAACTGAAATATGAGTCTCTTGGGTAACCAAGTCCAAGCACCTACACTGAGAATTGATTTTTTTTTTCTTGATCAATTTAGATGTGTTTTTCCTTCCTGTTGAAAATCGTTCTTTGATAGTAACTAAACACACCCTCCACCTCCTGGCCAGGGTATGGTCATTTGCTGTTTAAAACCAATTGCAAAAAATTGCAAAAAGCACAGAGGGGAAAAGGCCATAGTAGAATGAAAACTTGCATAATTACATACTTTTTCCTTGTAAATGCATTTTTTAATGTAGTATTACATAACAACGCAAATTTTTTTTTTCTTCAATTAAATTTTAAGATTAATTAAAGGCTATATTTTTAAAACATATGGGTCGTCATTACTGGTCAACCTCAGTTATGTGAGAGAGGTGATCTGCCAGACCAAAATTACTGTTGCTAAATGTTAACCACAGTAAGTTCGGAAAGCAGTTATTTCTTCATACAATTAATTTGTTTAAAGTACATGCTTTTTATAGAAATAATAATTCACAACAAGTTTCTTGTTGAAATTGAAAACTGAAAAAAAAAATTACACTGTTCAGGAGGGTTTGTGTAAATACAGCTTCAAGAAAAAATTGTAATTTTTCAGGTATGAAATAGATGATGTAAAAATCTACATTCATTATAATTTACAATAGGGATAGTTTAAATCTGTAACATCTGAGAATCAAAAAATACATATCTTACACTTTATAATAAAATATTCATTTCTGTCTATTCAAACTGTAGAAATGCTTATGTTTTATAGGGCAATAGATATGATGAATTTTACTAAATAATTCACTGCTATGCAATATAAAAATGCACCACTGACAATGAGGTTGCAGTGATTCTCTTTATGGGTAAGAGCTAGTTTAAGTATTAAGTTAAAAGATTATCTTTTGAAATATTTATCAAATTTTGACATTTTAGTCACAATGCTTTAAAAGATGTGTGAGAAGTACAAGGAAGCTAATCTGAATCCAGTTAAAATCTGGGATTACTATGGGACATATTGACACGTTTTTGAAGGCAATGAGTAATTAGCACATAACAGTCAACTGACAGAACGTTTGCATTACAAAGCAGTTACAGAAAGTTAGTGCACAAATACTAGTTATGTGCTTACAGTGAGACTTCATTATTCCATTTCATTGTATGTAATTCTATGCATACTAAGGAAAATATTAATAATATTCAGTATTACACTATATTTATTTTCTATATTTATTAGATGATTAATTCAAAACACTTCATTATGTAGATGTAAGTATAAACTCAGGAAAAAGAATTACCTGTCTAACACCACTACTTCCATCAGGACAAATGCAGCCACCCTATAAATAAAATAATAATAAATAAATAAAAGGAAACAGATTGATTTGTGAAAGTTAAGTATAAAACCATATGTGAGATGCCAAACTGTATTTAGGGAAAGAAAGACTGGGGGACTACTGTGGAGCTGTGACTTTTCTTATATCTGGAATGAATGAGAAGGCAGCATAGTCCTAGATGTTTGAAGATTGCTTTGGAATTTAAACTAACATTACATCTCTCAGTGTTATGTCTCAGTTATATATGTCTAATCAAGATAGAACTATCTGGGAAGCCAGGAGTACAAAGAATCACCAATGTCCATTTGCCAATAAGTCATGTGTGAAATTGAAAATATTAAAAAGTGATTTCAGAAGCCATTTCAAATAAACAGTCTGAACAAACTCACTTCATTTACAATTTAATATATGACATTAGCAAACCCCTGCCCAAAATTACTGGACTTAAATTCTAATTCCTTAGTTTAATTAGTTTAATTACCAGGAAGCTATATGAACAAAACTAGTCAACAATAGAGAAATGCCTGACCTGACTTGATCCACCACCAGTTGCAATAAATGATCCACCCTGTGAAGAAACCAATTATTTTTTATAGAAACATTTTATCATATGTAAAGCATAGAAAAGGAAAAGAATCTAATGTGTATAAACCGATGTAGTGAGATATAAGGTCACAAACTCTTTGTACCACTTCCCTGCACCAAACAAACTTATTCATAACTTTTTGCCTGAATCATTGTGAAAATGTAAAGTTGGATGAAACCTATTTGGGGACTGGTACAACACATAACAAATGGATATCAGGAAAACTAATGAAGAGAAGTGCTACCCACTGGAGCTCAGGGATCTCACTGAATTAATGAATTAGACCTCAAACTCTCAGTCAAAGGACTGATGATGTTACATCTGCATAATGCTGGGCATAGTGAGATAACAGATCTCTGAGACAGCTGATGGGTACCACTAGACTACAAAGTATTTTAAAAAAATAGAATCAGTTGCCACTCAGGGTGGGTCAAACTTTCACATAATTCTGGAACATATAGACTACTGCAACAGTTCACAGGTCTACGGAACATGAAGGCTAGAAGGCTAGACCTACTTTTGTGACAGAAGTACACAATTAAGGTATACCTTGTTACCAAATTTTAGATGAAAATGATATAACTGGCCATTACCATCACTATAGCAGGACTGTTTCTAAAAAGAGACTCTGAAACTATTTCTTTTGTGTTTTAAAAACAACTTTTGAGAACATATTATGTAAAAATCCACCTGAAATTGCTACCTGCTTAATGGAGTGGAAGAACAAGGACGCTAAATTCTGTGCCTTTTATCATTCACAACTGCACAAAATTTTAACGTTATAGGGAAATGCTGCCACATCAAATAACATTGTGTAGCACAGATAAATAAGAGGAATGTAATTTTCAGAAACTGAAATATAGTTTGAGAAAGCTCTTTTCAGTAAGATGATAGAGTGGACACTATATTATTACCTGAAAGTTAGTGTGGCTGTTGTTTGAAGTAGAAGATTCATTCTGTGAAGAAATAAGTAATAACTCATTTTTTCAGCAAGGGTAATAAATTCAAATATATAGTTCTATTGGAAAAGAACTATCTAACCCTAGATAGAATAATCTGTTGAAGAAGCTAATATTTATTCTTCTAATACATCAAGCAACTGTAATATCAGCTTTCAGAAATGACAAGTATGGTTTACCTGTACATCATAGTCTCTTCTGCTCAAAACATGTGATGTATCCTGTAAAAAGAGACATTTGCTATTAGGAGATGAAAACTCTGATCTATAGGAAGTCATCGGCCTTTTTTTTGGTCTGTATTACTTATTTGTGACTCCAGAACCTTTAATGCATATGAGTAGAAGTACCTTATTGTAAAATAAAATATAATTTGCTTCATTTTTTATAGGTTACTGACTTGAAGCTATACAATACAGATATCTATGTCTCCTCCATACAAAAAGAAGCAGAATAAATTACTGAACATTACTTTGTCTTACTTCATCATTCTGTCTGAATTCAGTTACCATTTTAACTGCCCTCTGTTTGTATAACGCATTAATTTTAACTAATGGTAGATTAAAGTATCTCTATATGTACTTCCTGATGAACAGGAATTTGAGTTACCCCATACCACACAGCAAGATTTTAATGTCATGTATTTCTTCATATACATGTATATGTTGTTTTAAAATAAGTTCACCAAAAGAGCAAATGGCCAAACTTTTTTATTTTATTTATTTACTTCATTAAACAGGAGAATATTCATTAGGTCAAACATAATTAGAGAAAAGCAGATATAATTATAACAAATTAGGTATAATTTGGGCAAAGCAGTGGGAAATAAAAGTTACTTACTCTGGCAACAACCTTCTTCTTTGCACAACCAGATTTCTGTAAAGGAACCAGAAGCCAGTTATTACTTTATAGATAGACATCCACACAAATACTTCCAGCAAGAATCTACGTGTATCAAAGTGGCACATTTAGGTAGAGGAAAGTGTCTATGGAGTTCTGACTTTCCTCACTTTCAACAGATGACAGTGGAAAATACTTGTATTAGTCATTTTTATTTTCAAATAACTCAAACATTGATAAACGAATTTTGGAGCAAGAGAGGAAAGCATCATTTATCTTCTGAAAACATCATATTGTAAATATAGGAATCCAAATCCTGTTTCTTCATGTGGAACCAAAACAAAATTCAGACCAAATTGTACTATAATACACACCCAATAAACAGTAAGGTAGCAAAGTCTCTCTCCTGCTTGTATTCCCCCATCCCACTCCTGCAATTCAGTATGAAACCATAAAAGCATAAAGCACTTTGTTTACTAAGCTGTATCAACTCTATATTCAAAGCGTGATTCCAATTTTCAACAAATTGGCTTGAGTACTGAAAAAAGCAAGAATTTGTGTCAAACTCATTACCTGATTTTTGTTAAAAGATGTTCTGCAATCTGCGTTCAGTTACATGTTGTCATATTTTTTCTATCAGAGGCAATACACTTTGCTATCATTGAGTCTTACATAACATATTTGAAGGATGTTTTTGACCCTTCAACTTCTCCATAAGAAGTTTGTGCTTAGCAGAGTTCTGTCTCTCTCAGCTCACCCACTGTGGTTTAGAGCAGTGTGTGTGTGTACAAACAGTCTATACATCTTCTTTGTGAGAACACTTAAAAGAAAACTCTTTTAAAATGAAGTCCAACAATGCACACTGAACAGGGATAACCAAGGAAATAATAGCATCTTACGTGGCTAAAGCAGGAAGCAATGAGAATGCTTAAAGAATGCTTACTGTGGAAGGGATTGCTTTGCAGAACTTGTTATATTAAACTTAATGCACTGCTTTCAAGGTAAATACAACTGCCGAAGAAAAAAAGTTTTTAGAAGACCTCCTTACTTCCTGGGATGCATATCTTGTACAGTACTAACATCCAAGAGGAAAAACAGGGAAAAATAGTGAAGCAGTAAAGAATATGGGTGACAACTGAAGAAACAGTAAGAGGCAGATGACAAAAAGTTACTCTAGATGGCAGTAAGAAGTAGAAAAGTAGGCTGTAACAGATGGAAAAAGCTTTTCCATGAGCAAGTATGGAAAAACATCATTCATTTACACAGCAGTGTATTTGCTTGGTAACAATTTGTCCATATAAGTCACCATTCATGCTTGTGGGACAGAATGGAAAGTCCTGACAGAGGGAGCATCACCAGAGGATAAACCTTACTTTAGAACCCTAGCATATTTGCAAGTTTAAATTAGAACAAGTGACAAAAGCTTGAGGCAGCTACATACCTCACATAGACAGATGGTTAATTCCAAAGTAACTATCCAAAGTACATATAGTAAGGGGCCTCATAAAAACTTTGTTATTGTATATTCCTATAAGTACTCTACAGTTTTAGGTAACTGTGCAGCAGCCTTGAGGACTGATAGAAGGGACTGAGTGCAGAGAAATATGAGATCAAATAATCTCATTCTTTTATTGCTTTACAAAATCTTTCAAAAATTAATCATATACTGTAAGTAAAGGCCCACAGGTCTAACATGGAAGTGCTACTAAAAATGTCATTAATCATTAGAATCTGAGTACTGTAGAAGAGAAAAAGCACTTACCCGACCATTAGCACTATACGTTGTGTCATTCTGGAAAAGAATAAATTAAATTTAAATACAATAAACTTACAGAAACCCAATTATTTCTGATGTTGCGTACAGACAACATACATCATACGTGTTTCATTGCTTGCATCCTCCACTGTCTTGCCTAAATTAGTTTGAAATCCTATCATTCCAGTATGAAGAACATTTTAACACTAACTTTAGGTTGGTAAAAACATGAAGTGAAAAGCAGTGGAATATCTGGCATTTTTTTCTCTTTTAATTCTTTCACTGTATGTATTTAAACCTTGTCCATTTAATTTTATTTTTAATTACTGTAAAATGTATCCTTATTTTGGGGAAATTTTTTCTGTTAGTGCAGTTACTGAAATCTTTTTATTCATATTTCATTTCATCAAGGTAAATGTGTTTAAAAGCACAAAATACATCTGTAAACACCTGAAAATTTTCAGTAAGAAAATATGCAGCTGCTGAAACAGCTATTAGTGTGGGGACTAAATACTCCTTCTGGGTAACTTTTTTTTTTTTTTTGCAAGACTACATATGGTAGTGTAATATTTTCCCATCTACATGAAAAATGTTGTGATGAAAATGTATTAGATAAAGCATACTCACATCATCACAAGCATTGGGATTATCATCTGAGGAAACCTGTGAATCCTAGAAGGACATTAGATACTAGTTATTTCCTCACAAAAAAAGGATTGTTAATAATATATTTCGTCTGATCTTGCACTCTGTGAACAGAACTAAAGGTGCAAACCGTGAATGTGAATGCAAATGTGAACAGAACTAAAGCATGAAAAACAAAAAGTTTCTGCTGAGTTAAAGAAGGACTTTTGTAAGGAAAATAAAGAGTTGTATACATGGCAGTGATAGCTGTTTAGAGAGAATGTTCCATGCTTCAGAAAAAGAAATAAGAAAAGCATAGAAAGCATTACGTTTTACTACATCTATGAGAAAGATGACAATTAATCAGAAAATACAAAAAAATGCATGAAATAATGCATAACTAGAAAAAATAAAGAACTAGTTACCTGATTATCATAATAGTCAAAGGAAGATGATCCACCCTTTAAAATAAACCAATCAAAAATCAGACAAAATTAGCAAATAGAAAACCCAGTTTTGAGCAGAGGCTAAAGCTTGTATGAAGTATAATTGCTGAAACAAATTATTACTTACTTGGCCACCATAATAGTTTTGAGAGGAGGATCCACCCTTAAAAAAAAAAAAAAAAAAATCCACCAAAAATCAGGAAAAGTTAGCAAGCAGAAAACCCAATTTTGAGCAGAGGCTAAAGTTTGTATGAAGCGATGTATAGTTGCTGAAACAAATCATTACTTACTTGGCCACCATAATAGCCTTGAGAGGATGATCCACCCTTAAAAAAAAATAAAAAAAAAAATCAAAAAACAGAGAAAACTAGCAAACAGAAAACCCAATTTTGAGCAGAGGCTAAAGTTTGTATGAAGCGATGTATAGTTGCTGAAACAAATCATTACTTACTTGGCCACCATAATAGCCTTGAGAGGATGATCCACCCTTAAAAAAAAAAAATCCAATCAAAAAACAGAGAAAACTAGCAAACAGAAAACCCAATTTTGAGCAGAGGCTAAAGCTTGTATGAAGTGATGTATAATTGCTGAAATAAAGCATTACTTACTTGGCCGCCATAATAGTTTTGAGAAGAGGATCCACCCGATCCACCCTTTAAAACAAATCAAACAATCAAAAATCAGATAAAATCAGCAACCAGAAAAGCTAATTTTGAGCAGGGGCTAAGGCTTGTGTAAAATAATGTATGAATAGAGAAATAAATCATTACTTACTTGGCTGCCACCATAGTTTTGTGAGGATGAACCACCCTTTAAAACAAACAAAGAGAAACCCTACTTCAGAAGAAATTGTGATTTTATTCAGGGGCTGTAAGTAATAATAAACAACTGCCTTGGATTCCTTTAAATAAACAGAACTTTCTAGATGTCAGTAATCATAATAACAGAATCTCAATCAAGCATGGCACAGAGTAGCTACCTAAGAATGAAAAACTAATCTGATTAGAATTTCATATCAGATAGGATTAAAACTTGTGACAGGAGAAAAAAAAATAAAAAATAAATTAAGGTCTACCTACCCGACCACCACCATAATTTTGTGAGGATGATGATCCACTCTGCTAACAACAAAATTAAAAAACGTATTACAATACTGCAGAACCGTTATTGATTAGACACCATAGAACCTGTGGGATGTAAAACTTCAATGGAAAGAAATAAAAATGTATTACTTACCTGGCTACCACCATAGTTTTGTGAGGTGTATGATCCACTCTGTGAAAACAATACAACAACAGTTATAACACTGGAGAACCAAATTTTATCAGAACCCATAAAGCTAGCTTTATTAGGTTGCAGAGCTCTTGGTATGTAAGTTTCAGGACCAATGCAAACTATTGGGAATTAATTGAAGTCTGGAGATGGATCGACTCTGCACGAGTCTATATCCTCATGAGTAACACAATGATACTCTAGATTAGAGCTGCTTAAAATTTTTAATTCAATAGATGATAAAGATCTACCTACCTGGCTACCACTCTGTGATCCATCCTGTAAATTAAACAAGAAATAATGTGTGTTTTGACACTTACTGTTTGACTATAGATTATTTTTAATGAAAACTATGATACTTGTTTAGGAGGTTGGATGGGGCCCTGGCCAACCTGATATAGTGGGTGACATCCCTGCCCATGCCTAGGGGTTTGGAACTGGATGATCTTCAAGATCCCTTCCAACTGATTCTAAGGTTCTAAAATTACATGGATTTGCACTCTATAGAGCTGAGGATGTTACCGGTTGTGTCAGTGGAAAAACTCATTTTGGATATGTCTTAAAGTCAGAGATGGAAGTCCATTTACCTGGTGGCAGGGATTGCTATCATATGAAGTACCCTGTTGAAAAACAGACAAACAAAAAGATAAATCCCCACATTTTCATTTTCTAGCAAAGTAATTATATTTCTTCTTAAATTTCTAACTCAACAGAGGGAGAGTTTAATTTTATTTAATCCTCTTAGGCTATGGCTTTACCCTCTATCACTCCCATACTCCCACACTTACTCATCAAAACATACACACAGGTGATCAAAGCAGGATTACTTGGGTGGAACATGGGAAGCAAAGTAGGCTGGCAATTGATGTGTCTCTGTATCATCCTAGTTTCTCTCGATTGGCAAAAATGAACAGTTTGCTTTGGTCAGTGCTTTTAGGAATCAACAGTTTCTGCTTCATGACAATCTACCTCAAAATCTTGCTAGATTCACCCATTGTAGTTGTAGTCTGCTGCCTTTCATTTCCTTTATTTTTGTGTATATTTTGGCTGCAGCCAGCATTCTTGTTGGAATAACAGCATGAGAAACAGTACAGTGTGTTCTACCCTAGCTGTCACTCCCCTGTTATTAAGAGCACAGTTTTTTAGCTGATAAATTATCTGTGATGCAGCTTTGGTGGAAGCAACACATTGTTCATTGTTTCTTCACATTTCTTCAGTTTCATTGCTGTTATATAGTATCCTTGTCTACTGATGCACGGCACCACTAGTCTTCTATTATTTATGCTCTCACACATGCATTTCTATTCATACTTAACTCACACCAATTTTAATACTTTTGCCAAAAGTTTCTATGTTTATAATGCTCTCTCATTCTCATTGCTTTCTCTGGTTTATTTATTTGGACTTAGGTTTACTATCAAGGCTACACTTTTCTTCACCTAGGATCTTATTGTTGACAACAGTCCTTATATCACTGTAGGCATAAATAAGTTGAATTGGAACCAGGATGAAAACTACGAATCTCACACCACAGGAGTCACTCTCTGAGCCTATCATGTTCCATGGAAACTAAATGGAGCAACATCCAAAAGTCACTCCCAAACACTCTTTGCTCAGCAGATAAATGTCTACTGTGAATGATAGAAAGCTTGTAAGTCTTCTGTTCCTAACAGTATTTGGGAAAAGCCACTACATTTTGGTTACAATGACCAACAACTGTTAGCCTTTTCTAATACCCAATAATCTATTATCATATAACAACAAAAGCAAGAGATTACTAATAGACATTGTATAACCTGTTGAGAACCATTACTACAACATAGAAAGCTGGGTCTACTATTCAAGTATCTTGGAGAAAGTTGACTTACTTGTCCACAACCATTACTACCACCTGAAGAAAAAGATCCACCCTGCTGGAAAAAAAGAGCAGCTCAGTGATCTGGTTATTCCTTTTCCCCATTACAAATATAGAAGTAACTTTTAAAGGGTTTTAGTTATCAGAGTGCTCAAGAGGATGAAGCCCAGCAATGTACTACTGTGAATTTCCTTGTAAAGTATTGTGGATGTTGAATATTCTGTTGCATCAAAAAGACGGCACTTACATGTATTCCTTTGTATGTGGGAAAGATTATCTTCAGAAAGGCTGTTCCCAGACCCACAAGAACAAAACAGTCACAAGTCTAACTTCTAGCATGAGGTGTTACATAGCTTCACCTAATTACTTCAAACCTCACAGAAATCTCACTGCATATACAGGGACATCACACAAATCACAGCAGTACATAATATGTATAAGTATGATATGAAAATTTAAATGTTTAATTTTTAAATTTTAGTATTTCAAAAATAAAAATAAGCATTATGGAATATCAAGTACATGAGCTCTATACCCAAGAGCAAAGTGTCCTTTAAATTAGCAGTCACTCAGGACATGTAAGTGCTTTTGCAGTAACATGGCACTCAACTTTCTCAAATGCTGTATGCTGGCTGGTGATTGACTGCTGCTTACAAGACCATAGGAACTTTTATAAAATGCATAATGATTATGCATAGACAGCTGTGCAAAGGTTTCCCAAAAAGGCTCTTCCTGAGTCAGAGGAGACAGAGCAGTGCGCTTATCTATGGAATATCCAGCTTGCTTACCTGGCCATAAGAACTGCTGATGACTGTGTATGTCGGCCCACCCTAAGACAAGGACATGATTTGATTACTCCCAGTTTGTAATCAACTTTCTTTAGGAAAAGTAAAAAACTACATCCTAATGCTATGCAGGGCAAAATGAAGAGCAAGGATTTCCTCCTGGCTGTCACAACGATGTTGAGCGAGATGATTTCATGTGTTAGGCATTTAAAAACACAAGTAGAATGTGGAATATTACTAAGCATGAGACCACACTTTCACAGAAAATGTCCTTTATAATTCAAATTCCAAGCAACTGCTAAGTGCTCTTGCAGTGCCACAGCACTCAACTTTATCAAATACTTGCCAGTGATTGACTGTTGCTTACCTGGCCATAGGAACTGACAACTTGAGGCCGGTAGACCTGTAAGAAAAGCAAGAATCCATTTGTAAATACAGATGTAGTCGTCACAAAGCTGCAACAAAGGCATTTTCCTCATCAGACTTCCTCTGTTTTATGTTCTTTTTCTTATATGGTAGCTCTGTGGGATGACCCAAAACCAGGGACTACCCAGAAATAATAAGAAGGAAAAATAAACACCAAAAAACAGCCAGCTGCCTTACCAAAACCCAAACAAACCATAAACAAACCAAAAACCAAAAAGAAAGAAAGAAACAAACAAAAGTGGCAGGAAGGGGGAGGGGGGAACAAACACACAAAAAAAAGCCAATGACTGACCAAACCCCAAAGCCCATTTACAAGTCTGTCCCCTACAGAAAAGTTCAATACAGTTCAGAAAAAAAACTCACCTGGCCATAGGACTGGCTTCCTTTGGAACCCTTTAAGAAAGAGAAGATATTTATCACCTTGACGAAGAGGTTTCTATAAAGTACATAACAAATACGCAAAGACAGCTGCACAGAGGTTTCCCAAAAAGCCTCTTCTGAGCTAGAGGAGACAGAGCAGTATGCTCACCTGTGTGATGGATTGCCCATTTCTCAGCAAAAGCCATAAGAAAAACTGAGACTCAGACTGCCAAAGGAAATATTCTCAGAATATCTGCTAGTCATGCTGGGCACAGAGAGATCGGTGAAGAACCGATCTGGATATGGAATATCCAGCTTGCTTACCTGGCCATAAGAACTGCTGATGACTGTGTATGTCGGCCCACCCTAAGACAAGGACATGATTTGGTTACTCCCAGTTTGTAATCAACTTGCTTTAGGAAAAGTTAAAAACTACATCCTAATGCTATGCAGGGCAAAATGAAGAGCAAGGATTTCCTCCTGGCTGTCACAACAATGTTGAGCGAGATGATTTCATGTGTTAGGCATTCAAAAACACAAGTAGAATGTGGAATATTACTAAACATGAGACCACACTTTCACAGAAAATGTCCTTTATAATTCAAATTCCAAGCAACTGCTAAGTGCTCTTGCAGTGCCACAGCACTCAACTTTATCAAATACTTGCCAGTGATTGACTGTTGCTTACCTGGCCATAGGAACTGACAACTTGAGGCCGGTAGACCTGTAAGAAAAGCAAGAATCCATTTGTAAATACAGATGTAGTCGTCACAAAGCTGCAACAAAGGCATTTCCTCATCAGACTTCCTCTGTTTTATGTTCTTTTTCTTATATGGTAGCTCTGTGGGATGACCCAAAACCAGGGACTACCCAGAATTAATAAGAAGGAAAAATAAACACCAAAAACCAGCCAGCTGCCTTACCAAAACCTAAACAAACTAAAACCCACCAACCAAAAACCAACCAACCAAACAAACCAAACAAAACCAACCAAACAAAAAAACCCACATACATAAAAAATGAAGCCAATAACTGACCAAACCCCAAAGCCCATTCACAAGGACATTTCTGTCCCCTACAGAAAAGTTCAATACAATTCAGAAAAAAAGGCTCACCTGGCCATAGGACTGGCTTCCTCTGGAACCCTTTAAGAAAGAGAAGATATTTACCAACTTGACAAAGGGGCTTTTATCAGCCATCCTAAGAAAAACCTCATGCTAGTGATGTTGAGTGTTGGGCTGCCTGCAGACTTAATCCCTAGTAATCATACTTACTGTTGTCAACATTTTCCTTACTACTTGTAGTTGTAAAGAGTATACTGACAGGAATTTGCCTTCCAATTTCTCCTCAATTGTGGCCAAGAAAGAGGAAGTTTGAGGAATCTTCACGCTTGTGCTCACACCAAAATCTTCTCATGTGCTACCCCGCAACAATGTATGTTTTCATTATATTAGTGTTTCTCACACACAAGTAACTTTAGATATATGACTTTAAATGAAGTTAAAGTACTTCGTACATGGGTATGCAGTTATGATTCTCCATCTATCTCGATACGGATAAGAAACTAACTTCCACAACTTCTGGGAATTTAATATCTAACATGGGTGGAGTCTGAATCTATCATTACAGGATTTGTATTGTGATATTGAGCCACTCTGTCATAACTTTTATACAGTTTTTAGAGGACACGTTGAGTGGAATGCAGTCATTTTAACTAACCACACATGCAACTACATTCATGAGTAGTTCAACCAAAGATAGCTGATCTATTTATAGAGAAAAAAAAAAAAAAAGAAAAGAAAAAGACCAACATCTAGAGCAACAGAAATATCTGCAACTTGTGAAATATGTTTAAGAATATATGTAGGAAAGTTTGTTGTCTTGACCCTGTTTTAGTGAAATCTGTATACATATTTCTACTTTTTAAGTTTACCTACCTGAACGTAAGTACTGCTGCTTTGCTGTCTTTGTCCACTCTATACAGGAACCAAAAAAAGTGTTATTTATTTTTAAAACACATTTCTTACATACTAAGACATTCCAAGAAGCAACTTTCAAATCTACTGGACAGTCTGAGTAAGTTCCTTATGCTCTTCCTTGCTTTATATATGCCATCTCAATGTGCTACATGGTACAATACTTCAATGTAGAAAGATTCTTCATAAATAAAATGCTAAATAAATTTATACATCCTAATGTCATTTTCTTGATGTCAATTAATCATTTAATACATTATGTTCTTTTGTGGTATTTCAAGTGAGTTTAAATAGTTCTTCCCTTCAAATCTATCATAGAAAGCACCATTAAAATCATGTGAAAATCATGCTGCCAAACAAGAAATTGAAACTGAAGTGAACTGCTACTAATCCTTCAATGAATGTGAGAATTGGTCGTGGCAGTCTAAAGAATTATCATATGAAGGAATGAAAGTCTAAACTTTGCTAAGTAGATTAAAATTGAAAACAACAAAAAAAAAAAAAAAAAAAAAAAACAGAAAAAAGTGTGCCCAAGTGATAACCAGAATACTTTACAAACACAGTCTTAAAGTGATTGGATTGTAGTCTACTTTCAAAAGTGTTTCTTTACCAAGAAACATTGGTATTAATAATCAGCAAACAGAAGTTCACCTAAGCACTGACCAGTATGAAAAATTGAACTAGTTCTTTCCATTAATAAATAAATAAATAAATAAATAAGCTTAAAGTAACACGGAACAGTACAGATTATAATTTATGCATATTTAATATTGAATGACACTCAAGCTCATGTTCTAAAATTCCACCTGCCTATCTGAGCACATTGAGATGGTTAAATTTTGCAAATATAGAGAACACTCGGGAATTACAATACAGAGGTTTTTGTGTTTTATGCCCATAGAAAATAACTGCAATGATATTTCATCAGCAACCAGATAGGATATTCACTTTGCAGTAACCACAGAAAACACAGCTACTTCATCACTGTAGTGTGTCTATCATTTAAGATATCCATACTCATTTATTGCCAAAGAGATGAATCATTGTTTAGTTTACTGAGGCAAAGCTTAGGTTAAAATTCAAGTACAATGAAGAAAGAATGTTTACCTGTATTATGATCTTGCTAGCAGAACTGCCCAAACTCTGCAAAAACAAAACAAAATAAAAAAATCAACAAAAAAAGGATCATTTGCCTTGTTAAACAGAAAATATCTAGTTGTACCACTCTGCTTTGGAGAACAAAGGAAAAAGTAGCCATACACAATGCTCTAAGTATTGTATTCTGAAAAGCCAGCATTAAATTAGTTCATCCTCAGCTCTGAAGGGGACGCAGCCTAACACTACTAAGGTAGTTTCCTATGCTTAAAGCTCCTTCTGAAGGAACTCTTGGAAGAGCACTGGCTTTGGCCTTTTGCACTACCAGCCAGCTCAACTTTTCTACGTTTGGACTGTGAAGCTATGAAGCATCATCCCTAAAACCTGTCTCACTGTCACCTGCATTGGACATACATCACCACATACATGCATTCAATTCCTGACCTAGTCATTTATTGTGCTCAATCTGGGGACATGAGGGACAGATGCAAAAGGTTACTAGACACAATCCTGAGGCAACACGTTTGACTCTGCTATAATAGTAAAATAGTTCTTACAATCATATGAAAAAAGTATGCTTACCTGGGGGTAGGTATGACGCTGCAAAGGAAAACAAAAATTTTTAATTATTTTGTACAAGGGCTTGTCTAAACAGAACATTGCAGCAGAAAAAGGGCCTTGTCTTTTGAATAAAATACACAGTCAAACGTGGAAGAAAAATGTACAAAGGATAGTATATTATAAATTTATATTAATCTTTATTCAGGTTAGAACAAGTTTGATTAGAAGATAGACATCAGAAAAACACACTTATCAAATATTATTTCATACAAACTTGATTTAATCACCTTAAGGCAAAACTTCTGGCTGACCTGTATGAGCTCCAAGTAAGTACAGTAGAAATTTAATACTTGAAAAATGAGACTGGAAGTGAATTTACAGAAGAAAGTTGCAATAGAAACAGGAAAATCAAAACTATTCAGGAGTGTGGAGGTTATATGTATGGAGAGACTTGGTATTTGAAGTGAATCCAGCATCTCTGCAAGTTCTAATAGCAGTCATGGAACCATGACTCAGCAACAACATTTGTAAAATTTGATAGGGCAAAATTTTAAGCTCACTATTGGCTTTACCTGGAGCTAATTATTTACCTAGGGTAAACTCTATGTGACAAATTAAACACACAGCTACTTGAAATTTCTTTGAGTCAAAGTTTTGAGCATTATAGAGAAAAACTCCTTACCACGGGTGGAAAAGGGTTGCTGTTGGGAATGACCACTACCTACAGAGAAATCAGAGAAAGTGGTTTACTTGTCATAGACTTTATTTAAATACGTTAGGAAAAAGAAGAATGCCAATTTCCCTTAACATAGAGAATAATACTATGGATGATTATGGGTGATTTTATAAAATAATATTTTTACGAAAAAATTGCTTAATGCACACTACCAAACAAAGAAGGATGTATATGCAGTTTACACAATAGTATGAGGAGATTAAAAGACTTGCTCCCTAGTCACACAGTGACTCCTCTGTAGAGACAGGAGCAGAATTTCATGGAATGTTCCATATCCATTGGCCTATATGAGCATCCTTTTTGAAATTTCACTCTCCACCACAAGGTGGAAGACCAATCTAGTCTTTAATATTAACCCTTCCTCTAGTGTAATACCGATTAACTTCATTATTTTTTTTTTATGACTTCAAATGCATTAGTAGTATCTTCTGTTTAGATTTTTGATGTATTCTGATTATAAGCATTTTTTCTATTATGATTTTTAACTGAAAACAGTTCATATTATCCAGTGGTGTAAAAAAGGCAGAGGAGAGTTGACAGTATAACAAGAGTTCTAATATAAAAAAAGCAGAAGCATTACGTTTTTAAAACAAAGTTATTAAAAAAAATTTCAGTACCATTTGGGTTCTTGAAAGAATGGCAAAAAACAACAACAACAAAACCACCTTGAAGGCCCTGAGCTTTCTGGGAACTGAACTTAGAGGAAGAGTTCATATAAACATTATGTATCAATTTCAACAACACCATGAATTCTACTGATTTCATCTGCATTTCATTTTGATTTTTCTAGTGACTTCATTTCATGAATCACACTCATTACCCAGTCCCATATTAAAAATAATTACACAATATAAATCCTTAGAAATCACAGGTACATCACAATCACTACCCTAACTTTTTTTCTTCTAAATAAAAAAATCCCCATAAACATGTAGGAAATTTTTATCATTTTATATACAGCTAAGTCAACAATCAACAAAGCCATGACAACACAGTGAGGTACTATAAAGCATCTAAGAATCAAACTGATCCAAATCATATGAATAAAAAATAAATTAAATTAAATTAATTAAAGCTGAATTAAAGCTTTTTTAGTAACACCACTGGAAAAAAAGGTGTCATGGCAAGTTAGACCTCTATGATTTTTTCCATTTGAATTAAAAAGAAAAGATGTGCTTACCTTACTGGAGTCTGAACCACTTGCAGGAACAGACTGTAAAGAATACAGGAATTCATTTTTTCATTAGGTAAATGTAGACAAATTAACTACAGCACTATTTTCAAAAAAATAATGTTATATCTAACAATATTTCACTGGAGTAAAAAACAAAATAACATTCTGAATAAAAATAAGATTGTACCAGCAATTAATAAATGAACAACAGAAATAAATCTCTTGGTTTAATTTTTTTTTTCTAGAAAATATTTTTATTAGTTTTTCCATAGTATTTAATGAAAGCTGCAAATATTTCAAGTAATATTAAAAGTTTGTTTATAATAAAAACTGTTGGTAGAGAAAAAACCCTCTTCTCCCTTCATAAAGAAAAAAATAGATAGAAAAAAATCAAAATCTACTGTTGAAACACAAGCCGGAATAAATGGGATGTGCCATAAGAATAGAAATGTTTCAAATAAGTCATAAAATAATGTGCGTATACTACCATTTTAGGAATCCACACATAAGATTGCATAGGGAAAAAACACAAAATAAAAGTAAATAAATTCTTAAAATGATGATATTACAATATACTCTAAACGTGTAAATCTCTTGCTGAAGTTTCCAGATATGATTATAAGTACCATCTGAAGACTTTAATCCTGTCTTCCCTTCCATGAACTTAATTATTTTTTGGTAGTAATTGTCCATAGCTGGTTAGTTCCTTAATAGCTTATTAAGCTGAAAATGAAAACGTGTTGGACAGCACATAGTTACCTGGCCATAGGTAAGACTGCCATATGAAGATGCACTCTGAAAACAAACCATAAATGAGTTCTTTATTGATATAATAAGTTGTTAATTATATCATTTTTAAATTATAATGCCAAAGTCTTTTTTTTTTCCTTAGATGTTTTACACTTCAAATCAATTTGATTTCAACCATACTTAAATAAATCTAGGGCAACACTAAACTATTCTGAACTTGTTTAAAGATAACTGCTGTAAGTTTTCCAACTTTCTAATATAGTCATAAAATTAGTGTTGCTTTCTCACAAATGTAGTATAAAGATCAATTATTTTTACAAGAATTTTAAAGCAACATCCAAACAGAATTCCTCTACTAGATTAAAAGCATTAAGCAGTAAGAAAGAATTTTGATGTTTTGTTAGGCTAAGAAGTTAAGTGTTTATAATAGGTGATGAGTAGTTCCTATAATCATAAAAAAAATACACTTTGAGGCAGTAACTATTTAATTTTAGAATAATAACTCAAACCACCACCATATTACTTAATATATTTAGGAAGAATAATATAACTGTGCATAAGTAAATATAATGCAATTTACAATAAGAAGATGAGTTAAGAAGCACAGCAGTAGGCAATCAATAAATAAATATATAATCAACTTACATCTTTACAAGCATGTTGGCCATATGCGTTGGCAGCACCTCCCTAAAGAGAAAAAAGAAACCAGTTATTTCTCTAAATAAAGAAGAAAATGCATACTTCAGACAGCCTTAGTGCTAATTGATCCTTACGTTGAATTTCTAAGGAATAGATGGTAAGGAGAGTGTTGTACTCTCCACTATTAATGTATGAACACCGGGGTGAATCTGACAAAGGCACACTAGCCCTTTATATATTGGAGATTACCTACTGGTACTCAAGAAATATTTTAAAACTGACACTATCAAGACATTATTTTACTAGAAACAAATCGTTAAGATTTAATATAATGCTTGTAATTCAAACATTAAGTGTGAAATATGTACATACACATGAATGTAAGAATTAGAAAGCTGAAAATGAAAACAAAGAAAGTTAACTCTTTCCTGGCAATGACAGACAATGAAATATAAAAATAACAAGACCAGCATAAACAATAATAGCTCCCATTTTAAACTGAATTTCATATATTATTATTAATACAATCAATATCTTCCACAAAACTATAATTTTGTTGTTCCTTTGCAAAAATCCAATACACTCTAATATGAATTTTATGTTTTACAAGTACAGATGACATGAATGTTTTACATTTTTTGAAACACTGTCCTTGTTGGTGCTGGGTAGTCTCCATTTTTCTAGTTTAAAGTGGCAACTAAGAGTGCTTAACATTAGAACTACAGGACTAGCCTATTTCTGATTACTTGCCATCTAAGATAAACAAGGAAAAAACTGTTGATGACATTAAAACACTAAACTTGAGTGTTTCATTTACCTTTCAAGTTTTGTCTCATTTTTTATATTGAGTGAATATTTGACCAAACTTTGAACTGAAAAATAAAAATCCAATTTTGCAAATACTAAAAGGAAACCAGAACATTTATATATATATATATATTTGTCATAAGTCTTCAAATATTTTAGCCTGTATGACTAGTCACCATCTTGATATAAAGGCTTCATCTGAGAAGTTTTTGATCTACTCAGCAACACATTTTAGCCCTCCGCCTTCTTTCATTGATTTCTAGAAGACTGGATTGACCTGTCTAGCATTTATAACTTCATAAATATCCATGAAACATGAAAGAATAAAGAACTGAAATGGCCATAATTGTTGTAGTTATCTCCATGATTAATTCTGAAAGGAGAAACAATTTAGAATGTGCAGACTAATTTGCACCAGTCCTGGGTGGAAGGGGGAAAATAAACAACTTGTATAATGAATATAATTTAAGCATAACAGACAAACCTTCCACTTTTTTTTTTTTTCCTGTTTCTATATCCTATACATTTCTACATAACCTTGTAACATTCCTGCTTGCCATCACTGAATAACCTAGGCTAGGATTTTCTATAAATATACTTGTATCAGGGAGAAAAAAGTAAATGTGAGAAAAGTTCTTACTGGTGCACATCCACTCTTGCTTATTGTGTAGACTGTTCCGCTCTGAAACAACAGCAACAAAAAGTAGTCAATTATTGCAGGCAGAAAGAAAGGAAGGGCAGAAAAAAAAAACCCTGCTATTTACAGCACAAAAATCTGAACAGCTGACAATGGGCAGCTATGGGATAATCAAATACAGAGATTACTAGTTCACTAGAAACTGTTTAGAACAACTCTTTTAGTACAAGACATTAGTCATGATCTGGATTTCATGTAAATTTGTCATTGGTCACGTAGCCTTTAAAAATCCATGAGTTGGAGTATACTAAAATAGCCCATGTTTTAGAAAAAAACACAATAACTTCAGATAGTTCCGTGACAAGACAAGAGACTCAGCCCTCAGAAAGAATGTATTATGTTGGAAAGGAATGCAGCAAAAAAAAAAAAATAAATAAATAAAAAAAAAAAAAAATTAAAAAAGTAATTTCTTAAAGTCTCATAATCCCTCTTACAGGTAATGAAGATGGAACAAATGGAATGTTAGATAACTCACTAATAAATATAATCACTGGTAAGTAGTAAGAAATATATTCTTGAGTAACTCAGCTCTAGAACCTGATGTGTAGACACATGTCAGAAAGCTTCTGGTAGTTCAAGTGTTAATAGGCACAGAATGGCAGTAAAGATAATTAACTAAAAATGTAATCATTCCAAACCAACTATACATTTCTCTGATTAAAGAAGTGAAAGTGATCAGCAAGAATGCAAATATACTTATTTCAGAAATTTTAAATGGCTAACTAGACAGTGAATTCACCAAACTTTAAACTACAAATATAATCTGGTGTTACAAGTGATACACACATTCAAAAGTTTTAATATATGCATGAATATTTCATCAAATTTTGAGAAAATTTGCAAATGCTCGTAGAGCAAAAAGTGAAACAAGTATAACTGATTCCTTAACTTTGATTTTCAAGAAGATAGAATATGAAAAATGCCTATTAATTAGTAATAGGTACAGTTTCATTTTCATTATGCCAGATGTCTCTGAAATCTACAAAATAAACAGTTTTGCATGCACATGAGCACACACAGGTAAGAATCCTCTAGGAAGATGGGAGGGATCTTTTCCTTCTCCAGATAAATACTTGGTAAAAATGCTTAATGCTTGAAATCAGAGATGGTGAAGCATCTTGTAGGTCAGAATACTGACAGAATGAGTTCAACAGAACCTACGTAGTTGATCCTAGTCCAGCTACTGGACATACAGTTTACTGGATGAACAACTCTGACATTCTGTGTTAATTAGCAGAAGCATTATTTCCAGGTAGTGTTAATTCACCTCAGTCCTCTGTCTTTGTAGAATTTTAGTTCAAGATTACTAAAGATAAATGTACAAATGCTGGAAGTCAAGATTCTTACCTGACCACTTGAATAGCTGTTCTGAGAAGAACCAGAAGGTTGAACCTGTAAGAAAACCAAAATGCTATTTATCGTTTTCCAGAAATTTGATTTTCATATAAGTGACTTTAAGGAAAGCAGGTTCTACTTGGTGGGAAAAAAGAACACAGAAAGTAGTTTTCTCTGACTTCATTCCACTAGCTGATGCTATTGTAATTATTTCAGAAATCTTTAAAAACAAATAATCAAAACTATATCAACTGATCCAGTTGATATAAATTAACATAAATTTGCTGCTTGCAGTAGAACTATCCAACCCTTTTTTATCTGTCCTTATATACCATGTCTGTCATTGAGGATTAGGTCTACAGCAGTAAGATCATTAAAAAGTGCCAAGTTAAGCAACATTCAGATGAAAACTTTTTACTGAAATAACTATGTAACCACTAGACACATATGAAATGTAGGCCATATTTGCTGGGAGGAAAGAAAGAAGAAAGACTTTCTACTGAGCTGAAAATGATAATTTTCAGGAAAAAAAAAAATCAAACAGTTAAATCCTATAGCTAGATGATAATTTGAAGAGGCTCCAGATCTTTTTGAAATATGCAATATTGAAAAGATCCATAAGCAAAGAAGCACTATAGCTAAAAAGTAAAGCTAGGCAAATGAAAAGTTCTATTAGAAAGTTATTTTAGATTATCTAGAGAGAAACTGTAGAAAGAAGTAATAACAAGACTGACAACCATTTAGAAACTTGGGATTTTAGTCACAGAATCACAGAATCACAGAATTTCTAGGTTGGAAGAGACCTCAAGATCATCGAGTCCAACCTCTAACCTAACACTAACAGTCCCCACTAGTCAACCAAGGCAAAGTGACAAAAAGAAAAATAAACTGAATTACAAAGGAATAAAGATGTGATGAGAAGCAATTTTTGACTAGGTCTTAAGATTTTTGACAATCAGTCTCTACAGAATGAATATTTACCACAACACATCCGCCTTGTCTTGTGTACGTTCCTCCACGCTGTAAGAAAGTACAGGTTCCTGTTATTGTTAATTGACTTATGAACAAACAGCTAAGTTATTCTGAAGAGGAAACTAAATTGAATTTACATCTGTGGCCTGAGTGAAGAAGTCAAACATTGATTGCTTACAATACCTTACCTGTTGTAATAATCTCACCTGAGATTTAATGTTGTCCCATTAAAAATATCTTCAAAATTAAAAACAAGAATGTAGGCACAAATGAGAGCTCTCTATGAAAATAATTTGGATGGTATGAAATAACCTTAATCCTATAACCATGAAATAACTGAACTAGTAGGACAGGAATTCTAAATTTGAGGTAACAGAAGCTGGGAAATTGTAGATAAGTTGTTCTCACCTTGCTGCATTCTATTTCTATCATAAGCTGTGGAGAGGAAAAAAATAAAAATTATTTACTGTAAAAAAAAATATTATCAGAAATGAGAAATACATTTGGTGAGGCAATGGACAATAAGACAAGTATTTGCTTGGACTTAAATCACAAGATGACATAAATCAGTGCTGTTCCATTCAAGAGCCAATACTGTAGATTTGAACACATTCTCTTTACATAAGCTGCCTACCATGTTTTAAATGCTTAATATAAGTGATTCCCTGTCGAAAATAAATAAAGCAGCAAATACATTTCTAAGAATATGATACACAGGTACCCAGGACTGAGGCAGCAGCAAAGTAAAAGCATAATACACACCAAGCAGAATCCTCCTTCACACCTATTTTATTTTCTTTATATCTGTACTATGTACTATTTTGATAACTAGATTATTAATTTCCTTACTTATCTTGGGGAGAAAACCAAATTTTCCATTTTACCAAATTGATGAAAGACAATTAAAAGCATTGAAAGTATCTGCTGAATTTGGCCATCCTAATTAACACATAATAACAAATGTATATCTAATCATAGATATTTTAATTGACTATATTAGTTGCTAGCATGTAAATGCACTCAAAACATACCTTCCTTTTTTGTCTTCCTGTCCCATTAACTGACTCAGAACGTGTAGGTGTGAGAATTTTGCTTTGAATTCCAACCCAAAATTTCTCTAGATCTTGGACAACAGTTGCACTGCAAAGAAAATAAAATATCTTTTTCTACCAAAATATTTCATTAAAAAATACAACTAAACACTTATTTCAACCCTCAGCAAAGAAAATCTATTAAATATTGATGTTGAGGGTTATGCAGTAGAAATTTGAAAAGAATGTCCAGAACATTTATTTTGTTTTTGCAGTATTATCATCCAATCTCTTTCTGAAGATAAATAAATTTTGTACTGAGCAGGGAAAGAAAAAGAATGGACACTATTCTGGAAAACACTGACTCTTGTGGGGAATATTGCATATCCTTACATTGCTCATTTAGATGATCTGAATGATGGAGATCTGATTTTCATGTCATAAGCAGTGGAAATAATTAATTTGTCTTCTTTTGCTTCTTTTTGTATTTCTCAAGATTTAATGAAGCAAGGACAAGACGTCTCCTGTCATAAATCTATACTTCATACAGCATTAAGCTATCAAATATTGAGATTTTTTCCAGTTACGACAAGCACACATTTTGTTATAACAGATAATTCTTTTTCTTACAGATCTGAAACTTGTAATATTAAACATAGAAAAACTTGTCTTCTACTGTTTTCTTCAGTAGTTCATGGGTCATATCCTCCAAAAGTGACAAAAAAAGTATGTTGAAGACAACTTAGATTGATATCATCCAAAATGAATTGTCTTTAAACTTAACTTTCAAAGATTTCCAAACAAACTGGTATTTTTCCCCACTATCCAAAAGGAAAGATATTTTTTTTTTTAAGTAACAACTGAATAGAATCTGAATATGACTTATTCAGGGAACAAGTTGCACTATCACAGTCTCTCCTGTAATTAAAGAAGTCACAGTGTAAAAACTGGTTACTCAAGGATCCATTAATGACACTGTGCTTAATGGAATTATTTACATATTTAATGTCTGTAGGATGGTGTTTACTTAGCTACTTTTTAAACAGACTTAAGACAGAAATCGTTTAATTTAATGGACACAGTGAAAAGGCATGATAACCTATGAAACAAAACTTGACTGTGACAAAACAAATACATCAGAAACAATAGCACAAATGCATGTTAAAATGTTCCATGAAAATAAATTTTCTAGGCAAAGAAAGAAAAAAAACCAACAATACTATTTACATGAACTGAAGATCTTTAATATCCTGTGGAGCAATCCATGTTGTTGTAACTTTCTGTTTCACATCTGAGTTTGCATGACTTACTGCTGAATTCTGCAATTAAAGAGAAATATAGTTATATAAGACACAAAAGAAATTTTTGTCTATATAAGGGTAACTGCCTGTACTACAACACTGATGTCCTTCTAGGAGGTATCAAGTAGTTTTTACATTAGATTTGTATCATATGTAGAAGATAAATGCATTTCTTGAGAGAGTCTAAATTAAGCTCTACTGAAGAAATATTATTGCCATTAAAAATGCTCACTTCTTTTATTACATTAATTAAAGTATTCAGAAGGAAACCAAGCTTATGTAAGTATTCAAAAGAGTGAACACATACCGTCATGTTATGACATTCCAAGCCTTTTGTGTTTGGATCTGTAATTTTAAAAGTACCAACAGGACCATCTCCTTCTATTTCTCGAGCTTGTAGATTAAATCCTTTAAAACCAGCATCTCTAAGGGCTTCTAAAGTCACTATAAAAACAGATATTTTGAGAAATTTAAGTTTCATGCACTACCAAAACCACTTAAGTGGTTAACAATAAATTTTCCTTCTGTAGAACATAAGATGGCACACATAGGAATAAACTAGAATTCTTCACAATTTAAAAAAGAGAAAAGTTGGGATTTATTACAATTCTTATTAATAATCAAGACTGACAATAAAAGAAAAAAAAGTTTGGAGAAGCGTTTGTGTGTAACAAAGTCTATTAGAAATTAGCATGAAATATATGATTTACTGACAATTTTACAAGTAATTTTGCTCTACTAATTAATTATTTTTTTTTAAATTAATTGATTTGTTCCCCTGTGCATGCTCAGAATACTCCCTGATCAAAAACTTATTTGTTTTCTAATTAGGCCTATAAAAAGTCAAAATAGTCATAGGGAGAAAGATTTGCAATTCTTTCTACATCCATTTCAAAAGAAGAGATTAACTTTTGCCTAAGGTTGAATTGCAGAACCTTTTGATGTGTTACAACTGGAAAAAAAAAAAAAAAAAGAGAGAGAGAGAGAAGCTAGACAGTTTAGCTCTCATGTCTGAGGTTAAATATAAAACAAACAAAACTCAATAATTATAAACTACTCAAATTGACTGAAAATTTACTGCTGAAGGAGCTCAGAAGAACATGAAAGAGCACATTTTCACATTTTGTGTACATCTGAACCAAAACTAAGTTTCAAGATCATAACAAAAATGTTATGATCTATTGCAAATTTGGTCCAGTAATGCCAGTATTGGGAACTTTCACAAATAAAGCCAGAATAATATTTTCTATAACTTAGGTGTGTGGTAGCCATTAAAATAAGTATCAGCAGATAAAAATCAGGTAACCTGGGAGTCACAAAGAAGTGAAGACAGGGGCCAGTCATACTGTGACAATTTAACATTTCAAAACACCCGCATAATTAGACTTTCAATTTGCCATCAATTTCAACCCTAATTCACCTCAGGTCTTGTAGGAGGGATGGCATCCAACACTTGAATACAGTGTTAAAGAAAGCACAGTTGGGAGTGTTGGCATATGGCACGGCTAAGGTGAAAGAGCAACACATCCATTGGAAGGGCAGTCTACTGCAGCTCCCTGAGAATAGGTATGGGATTCTTACAAATTGACACAATAAAAAAGTGGTGCTGAAGAAAGTAAAGTAGGGGTAGATAAAACGGTGAAAAATGTCAAGGTGAGCAGCATATGAGATTCAATATCCATGTCACAGTAAGTCTTGTACAACCTCACAGAAGTCTAAGATATGTTGCCATCATTCTGCTGGCAACAGTGTTTTAAAAACAGCTGTCAGTAATCAAACAGCCTTCTGGTTCTTAACAGAGTAATTCATATGTGTTTTTCCAAGAATGGCGGTTATAACAGAACCCTAATGCTCCTCCATTCTTTCCCTAGCTATCACTTCCCATGGAACCACGTCCACACTGCTGGGGTCAGGTAAAACAGAAGCCCAGCTGGAAAGTAACATTTAGTGAAAAACTCTTATTTTGAGTGATTGAGATACAACAGTGGAAACGTGACGCATTACAACTCACTTCCACTGCCATGCTTGTTCTTCCAAATGAATAAGAAGCAGTCACAAGTCACTTAAAGTGTGACAGCACCATGCGATGGCATCATAGTGTGGAAAAACAAGGCTGTCAACGTGTTCCATCCAGAGAGCAACTCAGGATTAGGAAGATAAAAAGCCACAACAGCTCCACCTCCTGCAATTTGATAAAATCTGGGATGCAGCTCTTACAAACATGACTCAAAGTATCTCGCTCTTGAGTTGTCATATACAGTGTTCTGAATCCCCTTGTATTGCAGAGGGCTGATATGACAACAAACACTTAAATACAAAGTTAAAGAGCAACTAATTATTAGTCTAGTTTGGCCAGCTGTCTCATGATTTTTACTTTTGCCATAGGAACTACACCATGAAGTTAAGGTATTTGTTATATAGGAAAAGAAAAAATAAATTGAGTATATATGTTCAATTATATAAATATATATAAAAATATATAGATATGAAATATTTACAAAAAAAGGAACATCTCAAATACAAAAGAATAAGACTCAAATAAAAAAAAATAGGTACACTGAGAGAGAGAAATGGAGGAATTCTGGTGAAGTCTGGTAATTCTGGGAGACATGGGTAAAGATTATAGTTCATTCAGATTATTTACCTTGGATTTCATTTCCTGGTTCAAAGTTATCAAAAGATACAGCAATAACATATGGTGGTGCAGATGTCTGTGGTTCAGCTTCATAGTTTGGTAACAGAGAATCACAATCAATTGAAGTATTTGTCTGTGGAAAACCAAGGATTCTGGGCAAAAATATCCCACAGAACAAAAAAACAAACCAGGAGTGTCTATTCATCTGTGGAAAAAACAAACAAACAAACAAACAAACAAAAAAACAAGATATAGTTTATAGTAGCTTCTTTTTAGTAGTTGTCATAGTTGACAGATATCTGCCTTTCTCCAGGGTAGAAAACAAAACATAGAAAGCTTGGCTTTCATTGTATTCATATGAAGAAAATAAATTAAAATAAAATACCTATATACACTGACAAAACAGTGTAATAAATGACACAAGTACTTTATTTCTAAAATATTGAATTATTAACCGAAGATTAGATTATCTGGTTACATGTCAACAGCCCATTACAGTCATGTCTTTTGCATCATGGATTAGGACCAAGAAAGGCTTTACACAAACTTCTTCATTGTTGAGCTGTCAGGTTTAGCCCAGATCTTTATTCAAGAACTCAGACATAAGCATTGATCTCTCAAACTGCTTTTTTATAGACATAACCATGACTAATAAGCTCTCTTTTGATTGCTTTTTCTACTCCCACTTCCAAAAAACATCCAAGAAGTCTATCATTAAATACCCTGGAGAACTCTCAGAAGCTTTACAAAATACTTGTTTCCTGAAGTACCCAAGAGTTCCTTAAAGTCCTTTAGAAGCATTTCAAACACAGTGTATCAGATGTGTCCAATTTGTACCATCTATCTGTGCATCTTAATTTGTGCATGAATGCATAAGGCCATTCATTTTTGTATGTGCTAATTAAAACTGATAAGAAAATAACCTGGAAGCATGGGGAGAAAAAGCTTCAGAGCACTAATCTAAACATGTGCGCTTACCTCTGAACTCAATTTAAACATTTTAAAAAAAACTGTGAATCAACAGACAATGCAAGTGACTGAAGTGTTGAAAGACTTCCTATACAAAGGTGACAAAGGTTTGCATGGTGTCACAATACCTAAATGCAGCAATCCAGAAAGTTATATGTGTTATTTATCCTGTCTTTAAAGCAGATGGAGACTATCCCTCCCAAAATCTCATGAAAGCGTCATTTAAATGGGATCCTTGTAAGCACTGTGTCTGGGTATCAGTCTGCTGGGTGCGGTTATCCAATCTCTTGTGACTGTTTTGACATAGCCCACTTCTAATTAAATTTTAAATACAGCATGTAGGTGCTATTATATTAACAGACATGGTAAACAGTGATTTAATATGAACTAGAATATGTGTTGTTGAAATCTTTGCCTGACTCATGCTTAAGATGGAAAAAAATCTGTTTGTAATTAGATGTTCCATTTCAAAGCAAAGAATCCTTAGCACTGGCTCAGCTGGGATTGAAAAAAATCTGGAGTTGCACTCTACCATGAAAGAAAACTACTCTGAAACCTCTTTCCTCTTTTATTAGTTAGAGGACAGACAGAAACACACAAGTTGAATCATGGCTGAGGTGCCTTCTATTTGTATCAGTTAACTTAGGACAGTTCTCTGTCTTAACAGTTGTAGAACAACCCTAAAAGTCCCATTATAGCATCCTTCAGAACTGAGATTAAGATGAGGAAGTGATGTTAGCATCTAACAAAATTCCAAGTCCAGACTTGAGGCAGGAGCAGAAAATAATTTTCATGGAACATGAGTTTCAATACCTATTCAATAGAGTCATGGTATATTGGAACAAAAACTTACATTTCTTTCCCTAAGTAAATGTAAAAAAAAAAAAAAGCTTACAGTAAATATTTATTAAATAGAAGCATAGGGAACTCTGTGAAATAAAACTTATCTGCAAGTTTCTAACAAATCATGATAAGTTAACTGTATCCACGGGTATGGACAGATACAATCTCATCTCCCTGTGAGCCTGTATGGCTCATCTCTGCAGTACTTGAACTGCTACCTTAAGAATCCTCTTCCACATTTAGTTTAGTAGGACTTCAGGCCAACAATTAAATCCCTGGGTACTGTTTAGTTAGCTGCTTCATACAAAGCCTAGTGGACTTGGGAAGAGGCACTTTGGTGGTTTGCTACTCAAGAGCCTGGGGCAAACTTCTGAATAGAAACAAAAGTTGTTTTAAAAGCCTTTAAATATAGGGGACTTAATATGATAAATACGTTTTGTGTAATTTGAAAACAAAACAATAACCAAAAAAGTCAGTCTTGGCAAGTTTATCCTGCCAACAGTTCAAGACTCAGTCCCACATTCCCCTTTCTAACTCATTCTTTATGAGTATTTTTCTCTCTCTTTTTTTTTTTTTTTAATGATGAACCAAACCCTTCACCCTTGAGAGTCAGTATCACCAGTTGGCGTACACCCTGTCCACCACATCCCCAGCAACACACCTTATCGACCAAGTGCTGATGCATGGGCATCCTCCGGTCCCTCTGTGGTCAGCGTGAAGAGCTGCAGCAGGGAGTGCGGGTGCCCAGCAAGATGAGAGGGAGGAGGTGAACGGCTGGGCCAATCCTCGGCGAGGCGGGGAGGCAGCAGGGCCAATCGCGCCTCTTCCCTGGAAATTGGGACACCGCAGGTGGGACTCTCCTGCCCAGCTGGGGCGATGACAACACACACTGCACTCCTCATGGGTGAATCATGCCCCCTTTGACCTTTAGCTAGGCATCGGGACAGGTAAGGCTTCTGAAGGCTGACAAACTAAACTAATATGTTGATTAAAATCTACAAACTTGTGCCATACAAAAGCTTTACTAATATTTCATGAGCCATTTGAGTAAAGTATTCTACACTAGTCTATTTAATTTGACTTCAGAGTATCCCGCTGCTGGCTTTTCACTTTTTTACTTTCTTATTGGAAAAGACATGGACAATTCAATCCATGGTAATGCTGCCAAGCATTTTCTCATAGCAGAGTTAATGAAGGCTTTTTATCTCATGTACCTTGTGGGTAGGATCTGAAGTTCTTGCTCCTGACCTGCATTAAAAACTAAACACTTTTTCTGCTTGGAAGTATTTCCACAAGCTCTCTGCTGAAAATTAGGAATAAAGTCCAAAAACAGAATGCCATGTGAGAGTCACTTCTATTTAACCAGGGAATAACAGGAAATCCATGAACCAAAGACCGTTCACATGAAAATTCTCCAACTTCTTGATATTTGGGCATTTAAAGTACACTTAATAATTTAAATGTCATCAGCATTTGAAGAACATTATCTATTTTAAAAATTAAGCATATTTAACTAACAGTATTCACTTTCAGTTAATCACCTTTAATTATTGAGTTGTATTTTATTTACAGTATTTCATTATGAAAGACATTACTTCTTATCTACTATTATCCATTGGGGAAGAGATGATAATCTTCCTCTCCTTACTGTACCACTAAACTTACCATTGACACCAAAGTTATAAACAGTAGTGAAAATGCATGCTACACACCACTAAAAAAAAAAGCTTACTGCCAATGCAGTCAAATAAATGACACAACAAGGAATGGCAACTGAAACAAATAGACAAAGAGCTGGGATCTTACAAATGCATATATACAAGACCTTTCTTGTATAAAACACTAGGGTCTCTATGAAGACTGAATGTTAGCAGAAAGATTGCCATATTTCACTACCAGCTAGAGGATACGGACAGGTAACCAGAACCATCAGGACTATTACTCCTGGCAACCACGCATGGGACTGAGCACTCCATGAATGTTGAGTTTGGCAGGCAGACATATAAATGTCAGACAATGAATTGCTGTAATCTTGATAACATTATGATTAAGACCCATAGATAAGACAAGTAAAATGCTTTTGTTGGCTATAACACCAATAAAATACTATGCAGAATAAGTTGGTAAAGACTCAGACCATTATTTATAGGCTGAGAGTTGTAAACTCAGTGTCCCAGCCCATATACAACATTATTGCTTGTGGTTTATTTCAAAAGAATAGTATTTACACTGCATCAAACATAAGGCACTGATTCAGCAATGATTTTCCTGTACTTCAGAATTACCACTTAAAAAAATATCTTTTTCAGGTCTCCACACTTGAAAGGACAATTTTCAGTTCATAAATTAAATGCCAACTGAACTAGCAGCAGCTTCCTGATTCTGGTGAAAAACTGTGATTACAAAGTTCACTAAGTACTGAAACTACAGCGAAAGTGCAGACCAATTCTACGTTGTATGTGCATGGACCTCCCTGGTGCTTGGAATGCATATTCTTTCTTCTAAAATAATGACATTAAACTTGTGCCACCAAGGGTGTGTCCCTTCACTTTAGGAAGAAGTCAGGGAAGATGGGAGAGGGGCTAGATCCCTACGAGGCAGCATGCGGAAATCTAAAAGGTGGACAAAGGAGAAGCCAATTACTTGCCCAAGCAAAACAGTATCTCCTTGGTAGGGAAACACTAGCAGAGTTTTCTAGACATACTTTGTTTCTTCCAAAAGCTCTTTACATCAGATCAGACCAAAGAGCCTGTTCGCGTTTTCCACACTGACATCAGGACATCCAACTGTCCCCTTCATGACACTCAGCAGCCTTCAGCTTGCTCTCTGCAACTGCTGTGCCAAAGACAATTTTTTGCTGCTAAAATACATTGCAACTAGAAATGTTAGAAAGCGTAACAAAGCTTCAGCTAATGTCTACATACAGAAATAGCAATGTAAATGATGTGAGGGTTATTTTTATTAGGGTCTAGTATTCTTATTGAGATGCTTTGATGCTTCCAGTATGCAGCATTGATAAACCACTGAGTCTTGGACTTTGCAGCAAAACTGAGAACCTGTTTGCATGGATACCTCAGGTGTGCTGGGAGACATTGCATGGCAGCACATTAACTACTCCAAAATGTTTCCAAAAAAACGTTTTTAAAATTGCAACTTCTAGGATGTGATCTGTAAGACTACAAATGTGTACTGTGCCAAGAGTAAAGCTGTATACAAATGCAAAAATCAAACAAAATATTGATCACTTAATATACATGATGTATCACTTAATATACATTACATTGCTTAGGGCCGGTCTGTGGACATGAAGATGTGAGATTATAACCAGTCATCCTTCACTGAGACCTCCAAACTGAAACAATAAAAACAAGTGAGAAGTGAGAGAAACTGTTTCTTCCACACATAGTTTGGACAAAGAAAACAAATGTTACTGAACGTCCCTACCTCCTCTCACATGCCAGATGCTTTCCAAAGATCTCCCAGTCCTATTCTTTGTTTCCTTCTTGCTCAAAGAGGGAATGCCAAGAAAAATTCCTATAACTGTTAAAACCAAAATTTGCTTCCCTAACACCTACTTTGAAAATCAAAGCAATTTTCTGCAATTTAAATGAAAATATCCTACATTTCTGCTCCAAATAATTTTATTTTTTTTTTTCAGTGTACAGTATTTATGCTATTAAGACAGTGTTATCTTAGCTGCAATCCTCCAACATGTTTTAAGTAATTGGAAAGTACTCAACTGAAATTTCAAAACACATTTCATAGTCTAAATTTACTGCTAAACCTTCTTACTAGGCTTTGTGAGTTATATCCTTAGGATTATAAGAGGGATGTTTACTTTTCCTTTAAATACAGTCTTTCTTCTGTGTCAATATTTATATTCTACTTCCAAGGCCTTTAAGTATTCCCACATTTTTGTGTATTTGTAAACATTACACTTCCTATGTCAGATAATTACATTCCCTTCTTTAAAATATGCCACCACATAATATGGTAGAATTCCTTACAGCACAGAATAGTCCTAGCCTGTTTGTCTCATTCTATCTAAGTATAATGTCTCTCTTCAAAAAAAAAAAAAAAAAAAAAAAAAAAAAAAAGGATTACATTATTTTAGTGCATTATAAGAGCCAAATACATATAGCTAATTTTGCACTTCTAAGCAAGTATATTAAACATACTCTTAAAAAACATGTAACTGATATTTTACCAAAACAGTAACATACATTATTTTTCTAGAAAATAAAAAGATATGAAAATTATCCTTTCTCTCATATTAAACATTTTCAGTTCCTTGTCATCTTTAATTGCTTGTCTTCTCATGTTAGCACTTTTCCTGTCTGATTTAAACCCTGAAAGAATTAACGTAAAGACTCTTTCTCTATAAATAACAATAATGCCCACACCCTGAAAGTCTTAGATGATGTCACTGGGAGCCTAACAGAAGAATTAGTGAGTTTTAGAAAAAGGGGCGGGGGGGACGGGACACCATATCTACTCATTTTTATTTTGTTTTATTCATTTTTCTTTACGCCACAGTTGAAATGAGGGTGAAAAAGATTGTGCTTACTAGTGCCATACACATCTGTGTTGCTCAGGAGAAACACCTGTCACGAGCAGTATATACAACAGCAGTGACATCCGAACATTGCGTCATCTTATCTTGTGTTGTGCAAGCTAGCAAATAGCGTTGTCCCTATGTGCTTATAAGGTGAGTGTTTGGGTGTAGCTGCAAACATACGCAATACTTCATATAAACCACAGTGACTACCATTTGTGAGTGCTTCACCAGACTCTATATTCAGATTGACGTAAAGAATTTAAACATTGCTCATGGAATAGGAGACATAGGAAAAGGATCTGACTACTCCGATATGCAGTCCAAAAGATACCTAGAACTTTAATATTAACAATCAGAATTCATTGTTTCCACAATCCCAGAGAAGCTAAATGGTCTTTCATACGTGTACCACCTACTGGATTTACTGAAATGTTATGTTAGTATGTAATTTTGTATCTGTGGATCTAGAATGCTTCTGGCACAGCTAAAATAAGAAACTTGTTTACAGGCTATTTGTAAGGCCCTGGGGCCTAGAGGATCCATCAGTAGTTAATGCAATGCACATGTAGACTTGATATTTTTAAGTGTGGCCCATTCATGAGCAAGCAGTTAGGGTTCGGTGATATAAGTTTATCTCTAGAATGGCTAGCAATCCAACAGTACTGGGTCAAAAATAACACAGCTACACGCTGCAAAACACTGGCTACTATAAACTCACTTTGCTGATGCACATTCATGCATTAAAAAATCTTAACTAGTTAGGCTAATTGACTTTTGGATAACTTTTCAGAAATGTAGTTGCATGTCCATAACTGATACCCTTGAAATTTGTACCACAACGTGACTAGATAATGCACAGATCTGGCATTAACAATCACAGAACTCCAGCTAAGAGCTTCTGTTCGGTCAGAACAGGGATGTTCCTTTGGATTTCAAAATCAAGGTAGACACTTGGGACCCATTTCTTCAAAACCGTAACCCTCTAGGAAGGTTATTTTTTATCTCTATATTAAACTATAATACAGCATGTTTCCTGATAATGAAATATGATTTCAGCTTTGGGGTCTCAGCTTTATTATTTGTAGCAGCCAAAAAGCAGTTATTGAAGAAACATGAGTATTTTTTGTCAGGCAGAGAGGCTGATTTTGCCTAACAATGCATGCACAACTACTTGAATACAAGAGCATAAAGGAAACAGAGGCATGAAGGAAGGTGTGATGGGCTCATGGGGTTTCTGATAATATCAAATTCGCAAGCAATAGCCAGTTAACAACATACATCACCAGGACTTGATCAACAAGTTGATACTGTACAGGTTTCCAGCAATAACTAATAAGACTTCCCTTGCATCTTTCCTATTTCTCTGAACACGCCTTAAAAATAGTAATGAAGTAATCCCCACAGCTTCTTCTGAGGCAGGGAAGTGTTATTACTACTTAATTTTACATCTGAGGAAACCAAGTCACGGAGGGATTAAGTGACTCGGCCAAGGTCATACAGAAAGTTCGCTGCCATACGTGGTATGCGTCAGTCCTTGTCAGCACTCAGCGACACTCCCTGAGGAGTTCACTCGCCCCCTTTCTCTGCGTAGGCTAGCATCTTTAAGATTTCTTAAGAATCATCTTTTACCCTAACCCTGACTGAGAGAAGAAACATCGCCAGCCCAGGTGAGAGTCAGGCTGAGCATGATCCCCAGTTAATGGCTTTCTTGTTAATTCACGTAGGACTCCTGATTATCTTCTGGATTGTACTTTATTTTCACCTCTGCCAGGAATTCCTCCTAACGGACTCCTCTAATGTAAAACTATGTCACTAGGCAGGGTAACATGGCACAAATAGACTATACAACAAATACATGCAGTAATTATTTTAAAAATACATATGTATTTCTCTCAGAATGTAAGTGGAACATAAAACTCCCAATTTCTACTGCGCTAAAGAACAAACGAACTAACAACTAAACTTTCCTTCTTTACTTAATATAAATTTGACAGCCCAAAGTTTCATAGAATTTGTCCTACCGTGTACACTTTTGTGTACACACGTACAGACAAAACACAGATAGCATAATACCTCCAATATAGACACTGTTACATTACAGATGGAAATCTGTAAGTCCATAACCCTCATAATGATTATCAGCAGGAATATTCTCAAAAACTAAAAACCACATGCTGAAATATTTCACTTTTACAGCAACTTTCCAACAAAAATCTCTGATGTAATTTTATGTGTAAGCATTTATGCGTACTCCCACTTTAACTAAAATGATGCATTTCACAGATTACTATTTCATTGTGTGCTTGTACAGTCAGAATATTTACTGTACTTCAGGTGATGCCTAAGGTGAAAAACTTCAGTGCACATCAGGTCCCTGTCTTCTTTCTGGTTAAGCAGAAACCCGAGCTTTATGTTAGGTTTCAGTTCTCTAAACATTGCCTTGGTTTATGAAATTTCTCCAGATGTTCCTCATTTTAATTCTTCTGTTCCTACTATGGAACAAGCACCCTGAATCTCTCTTCATATTCTTAGAATCTTTTTCTTAACTACCTAATAAAGTTTGTAACTTTATTCACTTTGAAATTTCAAAATAGAAGAAAATCCTGCTAATTGCAATATCTTTTGTGATTTAATTTACTTTTAACTTTTATTATGTTAATTTGCATTTAGTCTTTTCACTGAATTATGACCTTTTTATAAGGTCAACATGACAGATGACAAATAGTGACCAACTCTGAAACAAAAAGAGGAGGTAAGCAACAAAATAGTTTAGATTTTGAAGGTTTTTAAGTGGTTAACCTATAAGGGGAAGTTAGATGTGTTGGACAGGATAGGAGAGAAACATTACTCTTTTATCTGCATTAGCAAACTGCAAATTGAGAAACTGGACATAGCCAATGAGTCAGCACTTAAGTATTGGCCTCATCATATCCAGCAAAGGAATGAAAACGGATACCATTTCTGGATGGTCAACAGAAGTGATCAGTGCCTTTTTCTCCACAACAGGGAAGAGAAAACACCGTTATCCCCTGTGACCAACACTGTGAAGACTGCATTTTCCTCAGCTGAAACAAAAATGCTGAGGTACAGCCACAGCCAAATCGAGAAGCTCAGTAATTAATTGCTATGTTCAAGATCCAAGCCAAGATTAATAGCTGTCCTGTCAATTCTGGTCATACTAGATTTCTGGAGGTTGGTCCTGCACCATGCTGCTGAAATCCCCCTTCCCCTTCCTCACTTTCTTCAAATTCAGGTCTCTTGTAATCTTTACAACCTGTTGTAAAGCATCCCTGTGCCAATAATAGCTTAGTTCCTCTATTATATTAGTAGAAGAAAAGCAGAGTTGATGTTTTACTTATGTCACTGACTCAGTAATCCACCTTTTCAGTTCATGCATTAGCAGTACTGCTACAAGAACAGGAGTGCCTTTTCTTTGGGGCAGAAAGAGTCATTCTGTGAACAAAACAATAGGCATAAGAGCTGGGGGGGGCTGCCATCTATACCTTGCTCTGTCACTGATTTCCTGCGTGACTCTAACAAGTCATTAATCTCTATATGTCTCATCTAGAAAATGGGATAATAATATTTAACTATTTCATTGGGAGGTTTAATGGTTGTGAAATGTGCTGAGCTCCTTGGATAGAAGGAAGCTGCTGTCAGAGTAAACAGTAATAGCATGATTATATTTGGTGGGAAGGTTTTAGGAGAGTCACTTTGTAACATCAATATTACAATTCTACATTACACAGGCAAGCCTGGCTTGTGAATCACTTACCAAGAAATTTGTCTTTTACTTCAGCTGAGGCATCTATGCACACTGCATGGAAACCAAAATTAAAGAGAACAGTTAACACCTTGTAAGCACGTGGAAAGGTACCTTCTTTAGAGAACATCACATAATTTTCTGTAGTCTTAGAATCTAACTGCAAGTGCCAGCCTACAAAAGGTTTAGAAACACGTCTAGGGGCACTGAAACCTGCTACAGGCAAGTATGTCCCACCACATGACAGATCAGTTATAGACAAAAGCACATGTATTAGTGCCTTGTTGATTTTTCCTTTGATATTTTAGAAAACAAAAGGGTCTTGAACTAATCAGTCTTCCATTAATATATTCTTAGATGAGACTGCTACTATGGATTCTGAACACATTTGTAGAAAAAAAATCTAATCCACGAAGTCAGTGGGAAATGCAGATGCTTGGCATTTCAAAACAAACAAAACACAATGAAAACAACAACAAACTGACCCACAAAGCAAAACAAACAAAAAAGCATCATTTTTTTTTGCAACTTCTCTTTTTGTAGGTATTTAATGTTATACGCATACCAGGTAGCTCAAACTTCCCAAAGCCTTTTCCCTCTCCAGTGTCTCACTGTCTCCCTCTTTCTCATTTCCAGTCTTAGTTTTTTTTTTTTTTTTTTTTTTTTGGTTGTTTGGTTAGATTTTTTTTATTTTTTTTTGTTTTGTTTTCAGGTTTTAGGTTTAGGTTCCTTTAATTCACAAGAGGGTGCAACATCAAATACTCTCCTGTACTCCCTTTTGCCAACATAACACAAAAAACATAATTAGTATTTACCACAAATTCAAATAACTCATTCTAACAAAATGACTGGTAACTTATTTTGGGGCAACAACTTGAAATTGATGCTTCTGCTTCCACCATACTAATCCTCATTTCATTTGTGATAAGGCATTAATATTGGTCAGCTAAATCCTGTGATGTTTTGATGTTGATACAACATCAGTGAACATATATTGTTTTCCTCTTCAAATTATAAGGTAAATAAATGTTCATATACACTGTTTGTAAATATCTGTTTCCCTACAACTAATATCTTAATAAATAAATAAATAAATAAATAGATATCTATATCCGGTACCTTGACTACAGGTAATAACATGCAACTTTTTTACTTGGAAAAGAACTTAATCAAGTGTTCACTTTCACCAAATGCATATTACTAAATAATAAGGAATTAGAACTGTATTATGTTTTAGAGAAAACAGTATACAAGGGAGAGAGAAAGCTATTCTTGCATCATTTTCTGGTGAATATATTCTCAAAGGTTCTCATGGCACTGTCATGGCTCTTATGGGATTAGCAAGAATGTATAATCATTGCAGAAAAAAAGCCTTGTAATAGTAGTGGCTCTGTACCACTAGTCCTAACAATGCTCAGTTCACAATGCCTTCGAAATTCAACTGAATTTTCCCTAGGAAACACCTGTCCACAGGATATTCATATTTCAGAAAAAAAAAAAATATCTTGGGAAAAACATGATGTTCACGTATTTTGTCAAACACAGGGCAACTAGCTATCTAACTGATTTAATGAATTACACCGTTTTGCAGCCTCTCCACAGCAACACAGATGAATAAACATCCTCTCATACTTCAGTCACACTTCCAGGTTTCATTTTTTAATGATCTGGAGATCATTAAAATTCCACTCTAGTGCCTGGTGAGCTGTTGTCTGGTTGCAAAGTAACCAGTTCTGAGTGTAGTCAAGAGATGTCATTTAAATGGATTTGTAGGTAGCAGCACTTCTGAGTTTCATCAGCAAATAACTTGATTGAAGTAAACCACAGCAGAATCAGAGCCCTGTTATGATATACAAGTGGCCAGAATACATATATAGTAGGTCAACAGGATAGAATATTCATTCTACAACCTGCACCTTGGGAAGCACGTATGAAATAATTACCCAAGTCCCCAAAATAAGAAACATTTACCATTTACCACGGCAATTTTCAAAAACTCAATTGCAAAATGAATGTTGAAATGGGAATTAGAAAAGGAGAACCATTGTGCTTTTTTCTGCTTGGCAGTATCTAACTCTTTTAAATCTAACTCTTTTAGTGGCAAGGTTTAGAACACCAAGTAGATGAAAATTATGAATTATGTTAAATGTACAGATATAGAAAGACCTGAAGGGACTGTTCCTGGTCTCTTACTACTTTCTGTCTGTTTCTGTGCTCTGAAAAGCCTTTGTGACAAGCATCTTTTTAACGTATAAGCTTTTTGAAGTGCCCAGTACCTTCTCTTTTGTGTGACAAAAGGTAGTAGATATGCTACAGGAGAGAACACTGAACCTCTGAAAAGGGCATGGATTAAGTTCAGTCCAAATTTTAGAACCAGGAGGAGTCACCTGCTTTGCAAATTGCTATAAAATAGATATACAATGACAAGGCCTATCCAACACCTATAACTGATCATTCACTAAAGCTAGGGCTTGTCTAGTATGACTTTATACTCTAGAATCTGCAGATTTAAAATGAAATCAGGTCATGTAAGTTCCAAGTACTCGCTTTCAGCACGAGGAACGCACCAACTACATTGTATAAACTGACATCACTGACAGGTCTGTACAAATCTACAGTTGCTCATAACAACAATAGACATTTACAACTGAGAACGAGTCCTACTTTTGACTCAGAAGGCAGTGCCTGACATCAGGAGCTAATAATCAACACAGAAAAATGTGAGCTTGGCATGACTGAGGTAGGCATTATAAGATGTACAGCTGGGAGTGGATAAACCAGAATGGGCAAGGTGGAGACTATTAAAATCTGGCCTATTTCTTCTACTGAAATGCTCAATGAAGAACTGTACAAGTATAAGGGACCATACAAATTGTATGCAAAAATAGTAAAAATGAACAACTCTCAAAAAAAAAAAAAAAAAAAGTAGAATGTATATGTCAAGTTTAGGCAAATTAGCACTGAAGAAAACAGAAAAACATGAAGAGACATTTTAAACTCTAAATGAAGAAGTTACAGATTACTTTATTTTCTTTATTTTTTATTACTTTATTTTTACAGATTACATTATTTTCCTCTGAACATTGCTCTTGATATTCGTATTCATCTGTATTGATGGAAAAAAAACGTATCGTGTTGTATATACTGCTCAGCTCATACCCAAACTCCCCAGTTGACGCTGTACCTATCTAATTGGAATTATGTGAACTTGTAAAGACTGTACCATACCCATGCAGCTACAGAAAATACTTTGTCAAGATTGCAGAGTTCTTAAATTGCATAAACTCTTCCTTGCTCAAAAGTATGAAATAGTTGTAATTAGAAAAGTAATAGGGGAGAAAGGGAGCTGCAGAATTGAGAAATCTATAAGTAAGAAGAGTAAGAATTGCAAACGGTATGGAATTTACCTAACATAAGCACAAAGTAGCAATAAAAGAATGAGAATACTAACCATTGCCTTCAAATACAGCTCTTTTGCATTCAGCCTGTGGTAAGAGCAATGAGCAGATCTTTGAAAGCCAGAATCTTTCTATTTTTCTCCCCATGTAAACCCCCAATACAGACATGTACAAGAGCAATAAAAGAACAAAACAATCGATGACCTAGCTACTCTTGCAATTAAATCTGTTCCTTTTTCCTGTATCAACATTAAATGTTTAGTAGTTAACTATAGAAAGTTAATATTATCAAAGCATAAAAAATAACTTTCATAATAAATCATATTCATAATGTATCACGTTAATAATTTTACAGTAGAAAAAATTACTTTCTTTAAAATTCAAATACATAATAAACCTCAAAAGGTAGTGTTTATGCGGTTAGGTTAGCTCCAAGGTATTTAAAGTTTTATGTGTTTACAGTTTATACTCTGAAAGTGTTTATGTGTTAAGTGTCTTTTAATTGTAAAGGGCTGCTTTGTTGAAAGGGTGCAACCCAAAGTTCAAGGGCTGACCATGACCTGTGCGGAGATGACTTGGAGCCCTAGGGAACTGGGATGTTCCTTAATTTATTATGACGCTGGCTAAGACATCACAAGATTTTCTGTCCTCTTGGTTAATGGTAACCTTGATCCTCATTCCCTCACTACAGAAACACAGGCTAGTTAGGATATACACTTTCCTCAATATGGTGTGGCAGCTTTACGAAAATAAAATGGAGAGCAGAAAAAAATAATAGAAAATCTGGGCAAATAAATTCATTTGGAGGCATACAATTGATAGGCTTAAAAAAAAAATTAAAAATAATAAAAAAAAAAAACAACTTTATTTGAGCAACACGGTATTGTCAATTCCTATGATTCAATAATGAATTTCTTTAGGCTGAGAAGAAATAAATGATTACATAAGAATATTGGCTTTCTTCTTTTCACTCTAGTGAAAAGCAATTGACCATTTCATCCGTATTTTAAAGACCGAGGACAGGAAATATTATTTATTTAACCACATAGCTTTTTAATGTTAAGTTTGCAAATTTGCAATCCTGGACTGCAAAAAGATGGGAGACAGATAAGAATACCATCTGTATAATCTCGCTCTCCAGTATTTAACAGCCACAGCAATCCAGAAACTAAAAAGGAAAGTGCAGCATTAGTGGCGTTCTGGTTCCAGCTAGCCACAGCTATTTATTTTGACAGAAAATGCAGACATATGTTGGAGGAGGAGGGAGGGATTTGAGAGGGAGTGCTCCGTGTTGAAAACAGGATATGGTGAAACAGCTTCATTAGGCTTACCCTATCATTAATTTTAGGAACATATCTTGCAGCACCCTAAGGATATCTACTCTTTCCTGGCTTTGTGCTACAGAAGCTCACACTGAACTGGTACTAATTCTAGACCATAAACTTTTCTAAGCTCATGAAGGGTCAGTAAAGCAAATTATTTACTGCATTCCACAGTTCTAGACCAAAGCATTAGTCTTGAATTGGACTGTTGGAGAGTTGGCAACACACTTTAATAACCCAAGTTACTTTCTAATTAATGACCTATTACCTATTTTTGTTATTCTGGAGCTTAGGATAGAAAAAAATGAGACCTCAAGAAATAGTTCGCCTGCCACATGAAAAAAAAAAAACAAAAAAAAACAAAAAAAAACAAAAAAAACCACAACACTGGACCCTACGATATATACAAGTGCTAATGAAGAACAAAAATTAAAAGTGTAACATAAGGTGGCCTAACATACTTTCAGTTAGCAAGACTAGAAACCACAAACAACTTACTGAGCAAGTTCAGTATATTGCAAACACTGTAGAAGCAAACTTAAAGGTACAGGATCTACAAATACTTTTTCCTAATAAAAGAGTTTCTAAAAAATAAGAAAAGGTTAAACAGAATGTGAGAGAAAATGTATTAAGCGATCTGAAATTCTGAGTAGCTGGTTTTTTGATACTGAATAAAACCAGGTTCCTAAAAATGAAGCGTGAGAACCAATCACCACTGCTAATACCAGCAATGGTAATTATCCGTTCCACTTATACACGTACCAAAGTGATACTTAGTGTTACGAAAATAGGAGGGTGGCTGCTTCGATCTATCAGCCAGTCTAGATGAAGGACCCTTCCATGCTCAGAAATAATGGAACAGGAGAGGTGTGGATACACTTACATATACGAAGAACATTATTTACTGGTAGGGCCTGGGAATCAAGCAAGTTAGGTGTGACAGGCTTGAGCAATGCCTGTCACTATTTCTACAGATAGCTTGCTACATTGAAATCAGACCCGTGATACATATTTCTAGGGGCTTGATTGGGTGAAGTTGCATCATAACTCCATTTTCAACTTTGTACCCAAAACATTTTTGCAGACCCAAAACTATTTTTATCCCAAAGCCTGTTGTATGATGACAGGAAATGTACTTTAAAAAAAATGATGGGGAAGAACAAAAATTACACAGGAAGAGGCAAACGACACTGCACATGATATGCTTATTCTGTATTGATCAGTTTTGAGAAGTGTGATGCACACCGGTGTCTGTACACAGTTAGATCAGTGACTGACAATAACAATCATTTCATCTCCATTTATTTGTCTCTTTTAAAGCAGCAGAAGAAAAAACTTGCTGGGTGGCTCAACTATCTCATTTATATAGATGAAAATTTCTGGATGACTTGGAACAATTTTTTGGATGTGAGGTACATCATACTTTTATATTTAGACATGAGGGCATCTCAGCTAAGATTTGCTATTGCTGATAGTTGATAATTTCCTTATATCCTCAACTTGTGAGCTAGTTATCTACCCGAAGGAACATTTTTGTACAATCATATGACCCTGACACTAATACCAACTTGATGTACTTCTAAGACCAATGTATAAAATGTTACATCAGGAAATACAATTTCTATTTTAAACTTCATCAAACTTTTTAAAGTCAAACATTCAAACCTGTAGATTTTAACATATATATATATATGCAATAATTATTATTGCATTACTCACAGAATATTTTTGATGCTTAGGCTATATATTCTACTTTTTGTTATTTAACTTCAATTTCAGCTCTGTCTAATATCTTCAATTTAAATGCCTTAATTAGACACTTCATGGTTTAACAAACAAATGCTTAGGAGCATTAGTCTTCATCAATTAAACTTCCATGACTTTGTCACGGAAAAAAAAGTAAACTTTTACATTTTTCTTCACTTGTTCTCTTTCATCAAAGATTCAAAGAACATACTTGCTACTCTTATAAACCTATGGTGGTTGCTTACTTAGTTATCATATGAGTAAAATATCACAGAGAACAGAAAAAACAAAAACAAAAAACAAACAAACAAACAAACAAAAAAAACAAACCAAACACGTTTTCTTGTAATTACTTTATCAAAAAACAAATATTCTCCCTCAGAATGATGCAGTAGATCCAGTGCAGTGGCAAAGAAAGTACATACAAATTTTGAAGAACAAGTGAGTCTTTGGAGCTGAGTTCAAGGAGTTGGATACGAACATTCCTAACATTAAAGAAATTTACAGACGGCATCACATATGAAGCCAAGGAGACAGCAGTGAGTGGAACAGAGAAACTTGAGTGGAGTGCAGCAATACATAAGAAGATTACAAATGAGTTAGGTAAAACTCATGGGCATCGATTTAAATGCAGTAGACAGAAATTTGAACTTAACATAAATCACAGCACCTCACCTTCTTCTCTGCCCTTTTTACCAAAAATCCCTCTGCCCACTTGTTTGAGAATACTGCAGTTTCATTTCTTATCTATGCCACTTCACTGCTCTCAAATCCATGAAAAAAATACAGCTATCAAGGATCTTTTTTTAGGTCACTCCTTTCACTCTACATAGAAGTGAGAAGTCACCGCAGAATGTTCTCTCATGATGCTAGGTCATTAGAGTTGTTCTGAGTTTTCACTTTCAAAGGCAGAAGCAGGTGAAGTCCCACCCCTTCAGAAAGGAACACTAAAACAAATACCCATGGGAAAATACCTGTTCAGAATTCTTAATATTTTCTTTAGGTGAATTTGAGATCTCTCCACTGAAAGGGAAAACATAACTTACTTTATATAGACAGCCAGTTCCCCAAGGCTGGAACAATCTTCCATTTTGTTTCAAAATACTAAACGTGCCTGAAATAATACCTGAAACAAATCCAAAATAAAAATGAGAAATGCATAACAGCAATTTAATCCTAGCACAGATTAATTTCATTCAGAAATTCCTGTAGGGCACTCTATCCTGGGATATGTTGACACACCTTATTTACCTAACGTAACAATATAGATAGTAAATACATATGTATAAATACTTAGTGCACTTAATACTGTCTTTTTTTTTTTTTTGTCTTTTTTTTTTTTTTGTCTTTTATTCGTATTACAGTAGACAGAAGTGCAGTAGTGGATGAGTGTAATACAGAATCATAGGATAATTCAGAGATCTCAGGAAATCTGTGGTCCAAAGCTGTTCATATCTGTTGAATTACAGATACGAGGTCAAACCTCATATAATCCTGTTAAGGGTCATATCTGGTCAGGTCTTGAACACCTCCAATGACAGACTGTGAAACCTTTTTGGACAACTTGTTCCAATGCTTGAGTATATCTCCATCATTACTTTAGAAGGGCTCAGCTTCTTTTCCAGATTTACGTGACACAGTGCATAATGAGTTTTTCTTGTTGCCTACAACATAGAATCTAGTTAGATTCCTCTAAGACAGAGGAGATGGGAAAGAATACAGGAAAGGGTAATATAACCTGGGACATGAGCTTGGCCCAGATGCTTTGGACCAGTCTTAGAAGTTTGAAAGTAAATAACTATATTGCATTAGAGTACTGTCTAAAGGCTGAAACATCAAAGTTTAATCCAATTGCAATTAAATGGTAGTATAAACGTAGGTTTAATCTGTTAGGCACGTAGGATTAGTTTATGCTTTTCTTTAAACTTTGCTGATTTATGACCTTTTGTTTTGGTGTAAGTGTTTTATTACTGTTGCAATATTACTTAATAAAATGATAGCAGCTGGGTTCATGCATTTCAAATAAGGATCTTCATAAGACAATTTTGTAACCATAGATTCAAGTGTTTGCTTTGATTTTTTGATCCAAATTGATCATGGGTTTTAAAATAACATACATGTCCAATTGTATATCTAGTGCATACAGCATTTAGCATACAAGCCAGCCTGCCATTTTGCCAAACAACATGCTCAACCTGATGGCAATTTTGTCTCTCTATAACACAAAAAACGTGAACTTTGTAATTGCATTATAACCAAAATTCCTGGAAATGCTTAAGGCATTGATGGCTAAAATCCTACTGGACTAGGGAAAATTGCTGATGGAGAGAGAAAGCAAGAGTACTCCTTGCTTTATTTAGTATAGCCACTCTTTCAGGCACAGCTGTACTTACCAATCTGCAATTATTTGACTGGGATATGGTCTGTTAATGCCTACCAGCATCGTTCCCAGAATGAACCTCAGAACAAAAAAAAAAACTACCTGAACCTCAGAACAAAAGCACCTGGCTGCTGTTTGTCCTTCCCGTTGAATGGCAAAAGGTAGAAGTGCAGTAATGGATAAAAGGTGCAATGGTTGGAGCCTTAAAACAGCTAATATACCATATATCCTGCAGTACCACAAGTAGCTACAGAGCCTGATTTGCAGACTGCTCATAACAGCATAATACATAAGATCAGACAAAAGTACTACAAGCTGAAGACAAAGCATTAGTACAACTTGAGGCATTTTAACCTTCCCTTTTTGAACTATTTTTTTTTTTCCTTCCTCTTTATCACTTTCCTGCACCATCACTGACTCCTCCATCAGACAGAAAGAACATTGTCCTCATGTGGGAGCTGTGACTTACACCAACTTCCTGGCTTGCAAAGCTCATTTGTAAACATTCACATCCCTCTGGCAAAACCTTCAGACCCGGAGCTTGGGTAACAAACTCGGCCTTGGAACATCCACAAATTCTCCATCCTAGAGACCAAACTAGAGATGACAATTTCTGCTAGACTAAGATACCTTTTGTTTTCTCAGGTACTCTGCTGTGGGATACTTTGGTACCCTATGCAGTATTCAAAATATAACAGAGTAAGTGACACACTAACAGTGACCTCTGATTTCTGAGACAAAGTCGTAACACGGGAATAGACACAGCTCCTGGTACGGTGAGGAGGAGAACCTGTTTTGGCAGACAGTGGAATGGAACATACATGGGAGTCCACTTCCTATCAATGTTGCATTACCTCATAACCCTGGGTATAAGGGAAGGGGCGCATGGAGACACAGCATAGAAGAAAAGGCAGAAATGAACTGAAGAGAGCAGAGCAATAAAGAACTCCGAATGGGGGAGGAACGGGAATGTGAACAGCCCCTGTTTATAGGGAAGAACGAGTCACAGAGAAACCTCCTGTGAAATGGAAGAGTCCCTGCAGCGTGCGAGCAAGCCTCTTACAAGAGTGGTGAAGTGTACCTGCTCTCTACATTGGATAAATACAGCTGCCCTTACAATTTAAAAGACCGTTTTCAGAAATAAACAAATAATGCACTTCACACTAGTAGCATTCCCTTCCATATAGCAGTCATTCATGAAAATACTTTGAACTCAGAGTTTACTTAATTACAAACACCCAGCAAGTTAACTAAGACAAAGATCATGGTTTTTTTTTTTTTGAAGTGGCCACTCTAGCCTCTTGCTATCACTCATGGTGTTATGTTTAATGTGTGATTATCACCTTTTGGAGGCAAAGACTGGGTATTAGGTCTTTGAAGCACAATGAATCCTAATTAGGTATAATCAATAATAATTACAGTTATGTAATGGAAAATAAGAAGATGAGGAAAAGCAAACAGCTGAGATCATAATAATTACTGTGTATTACGACTGATAGGGAAACTAGTGTAAGAAGCTGGTCAACCAAGGAAACAGATAACTATTTCTTTGGCTTTCTAGTTGAAAAAGCAAAGCTAAAGTGTATCAAATGCCACACTAAATGTGATTTATAACTTAAGCTCTGGAAATGAAGCTATGCTTTTTTTTTTTTTTTTTTTTTTTTTACATGCAACTCTGAGGGTTTTGCTGAGGTAATTTCTTTGGAATGAAGCAATTACCACCTACGTGGCAAATTGGAAGTGTTACATTCCTCTGGTAGTAATCCTCTCCTCCATTTAGCCAGAGGACAGGGAGGAGAAGGAGATGACTTGAATGGAAAGAACTGTCAGAACTACAGAGCATTCTACTGCAAGAGTGAAGAAGCACTAGGTGTTAATCTCACAGTATATGATTTAAAAGCTCTCCATGTGGAGTGTAAAAGCCTTCTACACAAATGAAATAAGAGATAATTTGGTCAAAAACTCAAATTGGGCTCACTGACCCTTCTGATCATATGCTTTATATTTCTACTGAACATCAAACTCTGGCATTCCCAGAAACATTGCACAATGCTGCCTTGCTAACCCAAGATATATCTATTTTTTTCACTGACAGGTTCACATTTAAATGCTACACACCCAAACGATAATTACATGCTACAGCTATATACATGGTTTTTTGTTTTTTTTTTTTTTTTGCTTTCCAATCCATGGAGAAATCATGCTACAGCTGTGTAATAGTATCAGCACACACACACATGCATACATGTAAATATTTATGTATGTGTATTGATTGGGAAGTATCAACTAGCACTCCAGAAATTGAGTTTTATAAATAAAACAATGTTTTATCTTCCAAACAATTGTGGATAAAAGGCAGCGTTTCAGAATAGGTCAGTACTTTAAAGAAAGAGAAAGGAGTATTGCACAGATCCAAGTTTCTTAAGTTAAGCTTCTTAAGAACAGCTGTGTTGTTCTGAACAAGATGGGACGGCGGTACAACTTTCATACACACTTATGTTCTTCCTAGTGCAGTTAAAACAACAAACAAAACATGGAAATCTCAACCTTTTGGCTGCAGTTCAACAACTGCATTATGCAATCTCTATGGCCAATCAATAGCACTTTTAGTCCTCTACCTAATTGGACAACTGTATTTTAATCACTGTAAAAAAAATCCTGTCAGAACCATGTTTTCTCAATTGTCTTTATTACTGTTGGTTCATATCCAGTTCTTAAGTGAACAAAGAAGTACTCACGTTAATCTTAAAAAACATGCTCTCTATAAGCTTTCCCTATTGTGCAAATTCCTGCTCTTGCTGTAACCTGTAGGGTTATATGAATGTCAAGCACAGCACTGTGAAGACCCAAAAACATCAGACTCAGTTCTGAGCAGGTCTAAGATGACACCATGTTTTGCAGCTTATATTAATGAAGACAAAATTGTAGTATGATGGTGCTGAATGCTGAGAAGTAAATAGTGCAAAGCAGGTGTTTTAGTACAGTGATGGATTGTGTTCTGAGTGCAGGTCTTAGGCCTCTGCCAAGCTTCAGAGCAAACTTCAGTTCTGACGGCTCCACAGAGAACCTGCTGACTGTTGAGGCTGTTCTTGGCACAGGGTCATGGCTGTGCTAGACCTGTAGCAGTTCAGCATACAAAAAGACAGGGCAGTAAGTAATAAGTTATCACGTGGCAGCTATGGCCAATGGAAGCTTTAGATCCTTTTATTCTTCCAACACTTTTTTCATATTTTTGCTCTGCAATAAGAACCTACTGTCCAGCCTTCTTCAGGCCATCGGGTCACTGCGATCAGGTGAAGTTTCTGTTCAACTTTGAGTTCTTCCAGACTGACGTTCCCTCCATTAAATGGATTCCTTAGAAAGCACATTATTTTTTGCAATAAATATGAATGCGATTGTAATATGTGACATAAACAGACTACCCGATAACCTGAATTGGCTCTCTGACGGTTACAATGGCCCCATGATGCTGAATACAAGATGTAATTGTACAACCATCCTTATGAAGAAACAGTCATCTAATCTAAACCATTAATTTAAAGACTTTCATTCTTAATAGGAGTAGGTCAGAGGTTGGACTCGATGATCTTGAGGTCTCTTCCAACCTAGAAATTCTGTGATTCTGTGATTCTATGTCTTTCAGACTGTGGATAACGTATCTGTTAACATCGTATCACCTTTTCACAAAAGGACTGCATTCTTTT